AAAAAACTCTCTCCGAGTGCCCCGGTCTCCCGCTTTGAGCCGGCGTCCCGCTACCTTCGGAGAAAGAATGAGGCGGCCAATTATTAACCAGGACCCCGGGGCGGGCGGCTGCACTCAGGCCTGTGGAGCTGGCAGAGGGGCCGCCACAGAGCAGCCACAGAGCTCACGTCTGTGCGCCCAGAGATTAGAGGCGGCAGCTTTTAAACGAATGTGTGCAACACATGTAAGGGGAGTGACGGGAGCGTTCCCACCAGCACTCCCAGATGCACTGGAGGGTGAAGCTGGACACTACGAGCTTTTTCCTCTCTCTGCTAAACCCCTCTGAAATGATTTTAGCCCCGCTCTAAACCCTGAACTAATACAGGTGGTAATGCCCCCGTTTGTTGTCTTAAAGCTCATTTCAGAGGCTGTTAAAGCGTGCTCTGTCATGTGCTGATATCATATTGCAGTTTTGCATGAGCCCATTTGAATATCAAAACCAGGGAAACTGCCCTTGGAAGGTGTAGAATCGGTTCCCTCCTGCTGTTGCAGCCGTGCGATAGCGGTAGGAGGAAGCCATCGTGGAGGGTGTCTGCGCCAGTTTCTATGAAATCACAATGTTTGCTCACCTTTAAATCAACGCCCACACTTGCAAAAAAAGGAAAAAGTGGGTAGCTGCCGCTGGCAGGGAGGAAAGCCTTTTTGCTCACCGGCCCCAACTGACACTACAGAGGCCTGTTTGTACAAAGCAGACAAAAAGCTGTGGCTAACCGGGGGGGTTGGAAAACACTGTACTCCCTGTCGAGTGAGCAGCAAGCTTAGGCATGGCTGACTTCAGACGGTGGAGACAATGAGCTGGACGGGGCGCTGCGGGGAAAAGACAATGGAGGCCATTCAGCTGCCGGAGGTCAAAAAGTGCGGGTGTGACTGAGCGCAGAGGGGTCTGTGTTCTACAGAAGCTAATAACGGTTTTGGCTGCTTCGTGCATGAAAGACAGGAAGTAATAAATAATGGCTCCCTAGATGAAAGAGCTTTTCACACACCGACGTCCACAGTGTTTTTATAAACCCGACAACTTTCCATCCATCTACAGCTCCCCATCCTAAAAAAAAAAAGTTTAAAAAAAAGAAGAAAAGTTGATCCTGTTTGGCTCTGTGGAAAACTGTCACACTGGCGCACGGTTCATGGTAGGAAAATAGTGTGGGTGAAGTGAGAAAGAAAACGGAGACACTGGGATCTGACCTTCGACAGCTCCTGTCCGGCGTCGCACTGCTTGCAGGGTCTGCAGCTCCCAGCGCGGTCCTTGTACTCCTGCTCCCTGCACTCTCTGGTCTCCTCCACCGCTCCCACGCCGCTCTGAGAGGGACAGGCACGTTGGGTGGAAAGTTAGGAGACTCCTGCATTTCATCACAGCTTTCCACCTGCAGCCCATAAAGCGGGGCTCATTCCTCGGCTATGCCTGGTTTTGGGCTTTGGGATCTCGGTACTTCGAGGGGGTCTGCCCCGCGGATCCTTCCTGAAAGGGAGTCTGAAACTGCCGGGATGAGATAAGGTTCAGCTTTAACGAGTCCTGTGGGAACCGCGGCAGGGTCAAAAGGCGGGAAAGTGGGTCAACCAAAGCGGGGTTAGGGCCAGATTCAGTGGAGGTGTGCTGGATGAGGGTGGGAAACTGCAGTGGGAGCTTTTATTTAGGCGGGAGGTGGGATTCAGCGCATAGAGTACGCTTTCCAGACTTAAAACAATTTGGTCCCTGTGTGTGCACGCAGTCACGACAGATGTTTAGCACAAGCGCTACAAAGCGATCCGACAGCGGAGTCCCTACCAGAGCCGAGCGGAGGACAAGTGCAGCCAGCAGCAGCGGCAGGGTGTGCAGACGCCTCCTGGACATTTCCACTGGCCTCTGGTGGCTTTCAGCTGAGAGGAGAGCACAACAGTCAGACATTCTTCTGGGGCAAAAGGATCCACGGTTTGCACAGAATTACAGGAGGGGTCGGAGGCACAAAAAGCGCCAGTGGAGTCATAAGCAAATGTTTCCAAAAAAAAATCTAAATCCACTCTAACGGAGGGATTTTCATGCAAAAATCTCTAAAGTGACAGACCCTTCAGTAACTATTTAAGCTTGGTACCCGTCGTAAATCCACGGGTCTCTCTGATCTGCACCCAGTGAGCAGAAATATCACTCAGATTAGGGGAAATGTTTGTTTTGTATAGCATTTTTGTTTTAATTTTCTATTTCCACACATCTCCAATTTAAAACGCCTAAAAGTTTGTACTTGCAGAGCTCTGATTTCTGCCCAAAACATCCAAAGAATTAGGCATTCCAAATGATGCCCAAAGTCCAGATGCTGAATACATCACTTTATAAAATAGCTCTGTGAAATCCTCACAACGGCTGGTTGGAATGATTAAATTAGATCAATTCCTGGATGCCTGGATTTGATCATGGTTTTGTTATTTGATATCGTTGTCACTCTGAGATGGAGGAAGGTGGACCAAAAGATCTAATTGGTTAATATCTTATTATTTCAAACATAGGTGGTAGAAAAGAAAGTAAATCTAATGTTAAATATGGTAAGGAACGCCTTTATCTGGCCATTCATTTGCGTCATATAGACTCATACAGCTTTCACAGCCTCAGAAGAAAACATGGTTTTGCATTAAATATCCCAAAACAAACAAACAAACAACCTTTAGCATCTTCAAGGGACCAAGCAGCAGTTTTCCAAAACTAACTGATTGTTGTGGTGCCCTGTTGCAAACAGTAGGTCGTGAGGCTCCAGCAGACAGAAGAATAAGACAGAGAAAAAAACATCCTAAACTAAACAAAACAACAACAACAAAAAGCGTCGCTTACCTGACGAATAAGCAGCCCGTTCGTCAGCGCAGTGTCCGGTTAGGGTGGTCGGCAGACCGGTGGGAGAAGTGGCGGCTGTTTTTTTCCCGCACCGGTCCGCAGCTCCCGGCGCAGCTCCCGGCGCAGCCCGCACAGCTCAACTGAGCCGCCGCAGCTCCCGCCGCACTCTCTGCGCCAGATCAAAGGCGCAGGGAGGGAGGGAGGGAGGGAGGGAAGCAGGGAGGGGGCCGGCTCTGGGGATGAGAGGCGCGTGTATCTGATCTGTGGTCAGCCAGGCGACATCAAAGACTCGGGCTTCACCCACACGCACGCACGCACACACACACACGCACACGCATGCAGAGTGATCGATAAAGTGTGTAACAGGTCTAAGCAGAAAGTGACAATGAGCCCTCTATCTCTGGAATTGTTGTCCAGACTGTAATTTTTATTTTTTTTGTCTTTGTTGTTAAATGTCTGTGTTTTTTTAACGGCTCAGGGACTGCCTCTGGAGTCTTTCGGTCCTGCTCCTCAGGGGGAGGACACAGCTGGGCGCTGTGCACGCGGGGGTGAGGCAGGCAGGAAGCCCCCATCTCTGGGAGCCGCCGAGCCGCCGGCCGGGTCGTGACGTCAGCGTGCCGCTCCCTGATTGGCTGGGCCTGGCCTCAGCCCAGACGTTAGAGCACCGACTTTGATTATGTCCGTCGCTACAAACCGTCCGCCGTTAAAGGGACACTTTGGAATCAGAAGCTGTCAACGCCGGAGAAACCGAGGAAACCCTTAACATCCTGTTTAGCTTCCCACCTAAAAACCCTTAATAATTGGTGGGCTGTTGATAGAGGCGTTCAGGGCCTATTTCCCTTGTTGTTTCCCTTGTTGGAACCAAGCCCGTGTTCGCTTGAGGCTTCGTTCTGGATGTTATTAATTACTGGTATTACTCTAAAAAAAAATTGGAATATGCCGAGAGGAACAACTAACGTACCCAAAACCAAACTGACACTGACACAGGGTGCGAGTTCATATCCACCCCTAGGTTTTTTTTTTTAAGTGTGTTGCGTGTTTGGGTTCGTGCGCGTGTAGTTTGAACCAAGGCAAAGACACAAAGGACAAAAGTTCAGCACAGCAGTAAAGTGGCCAATTACGGGACAAGTCCGGACATGTTGCGGCATGTATTAATTCCAGCAAATCACCGTCTGCTTCGCAAATGTTATAAGCAGCGTCTTGGCTTACCGAGGAATGTCAGCTTTTATCTCAGCAATAAGACGCAGGCTAACGTTTTGTCCACTTTCTTTGACCTGGTTTGGTCTGAGCTGACCGCCTGTCTGACTTTTAACACCGGGGCTGGCGCCGCAGCCTCGCGCTCCCGCGCATTGATAGCTTAATAGCAGGTGTTTTGGCTTTGTTAATATTTCTTGATTAATGTATTCATTTGTTTAGTTGCATCAATGAGAAACGTGTGTGTTGTACTGATGTGAGACACCTAGCTGTGACAGGACGGCACAACGGCCAGACGTCTGCGTTCCACGTTACAGGACTCAGTGTGAAGATGTCTCCACCTGGTGGCCACTAGCTGTAAAAGCAGGTCTTAAAGATATTTTATTTTTTTTGTTTGTTGTATTCTTTAATATCCCAACTTCCAAGTGTCCATCTTATCCAACTTCATCTTGGTATAGTTTTGTACAAAACCAACTAATGTGTTTTGCCCAATTATAGATAATGCCCAGTCATGACAATAAAAACAAGTAGTAAAAAAAAAAAAAAAAAGTATAGACTTATGACTGTACATTAATCACTGTACATCAATAAATCGCAGTCTCAAATGAAACCATTCTTCAAACCAATTCCTTTATAGCGCCCATTCTGGATCTTTGCCAGTGGGCATCTTTGCTCTGATCTATCCCTTTATCGGTCGTTTAGGTGGGGTGTCCCACCGGAGCTTTTAGCGGAATCTGCCCCTTTAAGAGACCTGTGCGTTAAAACCTGCAGTGTGAAACTGTCCTGAGAGGAGTTCACGGAAAAAATCGCATCTTCGGGCTGAAACCACATGACCTGCGGTCTCTGGAATTTCCACGCCAGACACCGACCTGCTCACGCGGTCGTTCGGATAAACTTCTGCGGCGCAGAGGACAGGACCGGGATGCTGCTGGGGCCGATGCTGATGCTGCCTTCCCCGCTGTGAGCGTCCCCTTTCCTCTCCAATGCGGCATCAACTCCCTCTGTGATCCGCTGGGGCGGTAGGACACTAAAAGATCGAACTTAGCCCTGAGGATTTATATATACCACGCAATAATGCCTGAATATCTGCTGGCTGATTCTGAACTAAGAGGAGAGGGCTGTGTCATATTTTTGGCCTACTGACATGGAGATGCACTGGTAAGTTTGACGTTTCTCTTTTTTCCATGCACGATGTGATTTGTGGCACTGTGCATCACTTCCAACGCAGCGTGTTCTGGTTTCCTTCAAATGACGACGTGTAGACTGAGTAGCCTGCCCGTCCCGAGCAAACCAAACATGATGCCATTTTGAGAGTGCAGGTTTTAGGCGTTTTAGGGAGCCCGGAGGGTTTGACTTTCAGAGGATGATGTCGCGTTTGTTCTGCGATCCTCCTGGTCCTAACAGCAAACATTCCCCCACACAGCGCTGTTTTTCAGTGGGTAATGTTGAAAGATTACAGGGCGACGTCATCTGATCCAAAAGTGTAAAATCATTCTCGAAAAGCTATATAATAGTAATCAGCATCCAAACAAACAATCCAAACCGACCCAAACGTTCATGAATTCCCTATATCTTAATTGGATGTTATTGAGTTTTAGAGATGCTTCTCGTGGCAGAAATGCGATAGGCCCCTCTGTCAGCCACCTCTGCTCTGTAAAGTTGATGTGCGCATCTTTGACTGCAGTGTGCTGGCGTTTGGGCTTCGTTACTACAGTTCCCAGAATTCAGCAGCGTTCCCAAGTCACGCTATTGAGTCATGCACTAACAGCAAGCATTCTGCTTCGTAGTTATGTTCCTGAATGAAATAGTGCTTTGTGCTTTCTCATGACACAAACAAATAACTCTTTCCCCTACTGAATTTATTCGTGCATTTGCCCATTGCTGTTAAGTCCCACCTCAAGGCCCCAAATGCTTTGTGCTACACTCTGCTTTGTGAGTGGCAAATCACTAAAGAATCAAGACAAGTTCAGCCGCCATCTGAACAGATGCTTAAATAGCTGCTCAATATAAGCTCATGATTTTTCTGTCACATCAACATGGAACCTCACGGATGTCAATGGCAGTGCTGCAGAGAAGCAAAAAAAAACTCCAGCTGAAAAAAGGGTGTAATGGACTGAGAAGACCAAATGTTGTGTATCTCCACACAGAAAACAAGATGGTGGTGTCATGCTTTATAAGCATTTTGCTTTTGTTGTTACCCAAAGATCACATATGTTTCTCAAAAATGATCCAGCAAAAGTGATTGATTAACATTTCCCATGTGAATGTCCAGCCTAACATACAATGTTGTGTTGTGGATGGACCTGAAGTTTAAGAAAATGTAAGTTCTAACTTCTTCGTTCCTCATACAGTTTGTAGAGTTTCAACAGAACATATTGCTGACAGTTATCAGCATTGACACTTTCATACTTTACCATATAAACAATCCTCTAAGACGTTTGACACGATTTTTGTCATCTTCAACTTAACTTACAAGTTATTTTTTAGTTTCTATCAGCACTAGAAAGTGCGAAAAAACATACAGTAAATAAAGGCTTTCTGCTTTTTTTTATTTGTCTTTTCAGCACAGATTAACACAGTTGGAATAGACAGTTTGACGAATAGGGCTAACCAAGCGTGCAAGTAGTCCATTTGCCACGTGAAAACGTCAATTCTGCATATCAATAAGTCCCATTTGGAACGTTGTACTTGCAGAAAAGAGCCCGAGAGGGAGCTCTTGAATTTACGACAGCTGACTATTTAACTTTTCCTCATATACGGATTTATTTGTGCTATAAGAACACGGTCTTATACTAAATTGTCCATTTCGATAGTAAAAGTAAACAATCACGGTGTTGTTAATCCCTCAAAAAGAATCCTGTTAAGAGATTGATTCACACGCGCGCTAGTGCGCATGCGTTCAGGAACATAATCATCACCTGTTCGAACACACGAGCGACGCCGGCCGGCGCGCGCTCATGCTCCAATAATATTACATGTCACTTTACATTTGAAACTAAACTAGATCTGTGAGCAGGGGAACGACAAGATGCGCTTGAGCCTGGTAAATATAATTGCCGGGATTTGCGACGACACGGAAGTTAACGGGCCGTGGGGGGTGGAGGAGGGGGGGGCTTTCAAAGCTCTCGCCTCATCCCTGAGGTTTTCCCCGCTCTCGCGCTGTGTAATTCATTATTATTAGAACATTGCCTTGGAAGGATGTAGTTTGTTGTTGGAGGGAATTAACTGTGTGTCTCGCCGTTGTCGCTTTCTAGGTACACACACTGCTGTGAAATGCTTGAGGCTTTGGAGGCAAGGACCGTTAACGGCGCGCGCAGGGCAGATACAAGTGAGTTGGGTTTGTGGAGATAAAAGAGGCTAAACAAACAATGGTGTTTTTGCCGGCGACGCACGAAGTCTTGCAGCGGCTGTCACGGCTAGAAGACATGTTTATTGGGTTCTTTTGTCGCAGTTACACACGTCAAGCGGCGCGGCGAACAATAAGTGAGCCTTAAGGACAGATTAACCTACGAAAGTAACGGTTTTCTTGTCTTGTCACAGTCGCTTTCCGGGTGCGGTATCCCTGCGCCCAGTGGAGAAGATAGTCCAATGAAAGTGTGCGTGCTGGGACACAGAGCAGCAACGACATGGCACACTGTCCAGAGCCATGGTGAGTTTACTGTGTCCTACAAAATCCTGCAGCCAACACGTAACGTTTGGCACAGATCTACTCTCACACACTCTTTACACTCTGATGTGGTGTTTTAGCCCTTTGGGACAAAAATAATCAAAGGGGATGGTAAGCAGTGTTTCAGGTTGTGGTCTGGTTCTGGTTTTGAGTTTGATATGAGCTAAAAGGAGCTGTTCAGCCATCCTCTGCTGGAGCTGCTGCCACACCCACCCTGCTCACCAATGTGCAGCTGCAAAGGTCCAGTGGCCCCTGCTGAATAAGCAATAATATTGTTGTTTTATTGCTATTGACAGACTAACTCACAGGTTCGCCTCAAGAGAAGACACATCCATCCTTACATGGAAGCCTAGGGTATGCAGTTTTAGTGGAACTGTGTTGGTGGCAGAGGGGACTAGCATCTAAATGACTGAGATTAGGTCTGCTGATGGCCCCTAACAGAATTAAAATGGCTCTGATCTGATACACCATTAACCAATGACCAGGGAAGTTCTGATTCTCATGTTTCTGCCAGCCCTAAAATTTGATCAATAATTATTGTAAGGAAAACTATCATGTCCTTTTACAGATCAGATCAATCTAAACTGCTGCATGTTGTGTTGTTGGTTGAATTATAATCCAAAGCAATCTAATCACAATTCTAAACATCATGACAGTGTTGCAGTATATAATTCTTTGAATGATTGTCATGTTTAGGGTCCCGTGGGTGACCGTTCGTCATGAGTGCTTTGGCATTAGGTCCTACCAGCTTTCACCCCACACCTCTGTCCAGGATGTCAAACTGCTTCTCTACGAGGAGACAGACCTCCCGGTCAAAGAGCAGCGACTGCTTCACAACGGGAGAATGGTGGGTGATTTTTATTGTTCCGTGCAAAATTAGAATGTCTCCCAGGTATGGCTGTCGTTTCGTAATCCCATTTTCACCAAATTACTCATGTGAAAGTGTTTTTGGCAATGGTTTTGCTATTTTTATTATTCATTTGTCCCCTATTATTGAGAGGCATGAAACCAATACTCTGGTGCTACATTTCTTTCTCTTACTTGCTTATCATTTCTTGGATTCCTTTTTTATTAATACATTTTGGGATCCACCGAAATATGGTGCCCAAGGCCCTTTTGCTCTGCCACATTTCACCAGCAACACAGCACAACAACCAGAGGAAAGAAACTTTTTTTTGTTGTTGTCTCTAACAGATCGTTTTAAACAGCAAACAAATGACCACGTGCAGTGTCAACAGTTCCTTCATGGTTAGCATTGTCACAAGTCTTCCAATAAACATAACATATCTATTAGGTCAATAAATGACCCTCATAGTGTTATCGATCTCATGACCCGCCCAAGATCACCAAAGGTCATCTCTCATCTGCCTAAATGCTTATTGATCCATTGTAAGGTCTCAATGGCTACAGTTGCTTCATTCATAGCACATGGTTTCACTTTTAGGAGGATTATATTGTCTGTTCTAAAGTACACACCTGTATCTATTTTCTTATCCCTAAAGCTGGCAAAAGTCTCTGAGACAAACAGAATGGCCAGCGTTCTTCATTTCAGAGACTTTTATCAGGCAGAGAACTGCGCCATGTCGGCTCTGTCACAGCTCTCTGGGAGAATGGCCGAACATAGCAGTAGATGACCCCATGTCTCCAGCAGAGCTGATGGAAAGCGCCAGGTGGTGATCGGTTCCCCCTCCGTCCCCCACCCCCGCATATGACTCCAGATGTCATAAGCAGAAATTAGCTTGAAGCCACACCTACCACATAGATTATACCGCCACTTTCATATGAAAGGAAAATTCAAGCCCTGTGTTCAGCTCTGCCTTTTAAACATGTCATATGTGGCAGCTGGTGGAAGAAAATAACATCAGCCACGTCCTTTATCTAAGCCTGTACTTCAGGTTGCTTTGCTGCTTGCTAATGGCATTAAACTGGCCAGCAGTCTGATTGAGGAGACTTTGTGCCAGTCACTGCACTTTATATAAATGCAGTTTTGCTATTTAGAAGCTTAACTTGAACTTTTTTTTTCTTTTAATTGCTTGTTTCTGGATGATCTCAAATTCAATAAATCATTTAACCTCTGAAGCCAAATGCTGAAAAACAGATTAAACTGTTAAAGCAGTACAGATAAAGCACTTTACTTTAATTGGCTCTTATAAGAGGTCACTAGCAGTAATTTAAATGTTATTTCGAAATACGGTAAAGAAGGGCATTTGCCTAGGACTGGGAAAGAAGCTGTATTAGGCAAGGAAATCGTGTTAGATCAACATTGTGTTCAAGCTTCTCGGCCGTATTTTATGTTAAATATTTATTAAACCTCCTTCTCAAATATTAATCTGGCAAAGCACATCTTTATTGAGTTCTTTGTCCCCAACTGGACAGTAATTACTTCATGATGCAGTGATCGTCATGTGGATGATGACTGGGGACTTTTCTGACGCACGGCTCAGCTGTCCAGGCTGCATGATGATGGTCAAAGGACTGCTGAGTGCGGCGGGCCCCAGGGTCACCCTGAAGAGGCTCCGCCGGACTCCCTGCCACATTGATTTAAACATGGATCAGGAAAAGATTGTCTATCACCCAGTGTGCAATAAGTCACCACAAATGATTTAGCAGGGCCTTCGGGGAGAGACTCGTGACCCAGAAATGATGACGCTATGATCGTCGACTATCGAAAAAAAAAAAAACAATAGTTGGCTTTCAGTCTATTCAGTGAGGTTTGCTTATTTTGATTTAACACATGTTTGAATATGTGATGTTTCTGCCCTCTGGTGTTCTCTCAAGACAGTTTAGTTAGTTTCCGCATTATATTACTTTGTCTTTATTCAGCAACACCAGTTTTACTTTTTTTTTTAATGAGTCTTCTTTTTTGGTTAATTTCTGTTCCGTCTTTACATTGATTCTGTACAGCTGGATGGCAGCTTACAGATTGGCTCTTTGGTGCCTGCTGGAAGCCCAGAAGTGTCCATCGCTTTGGAGGGAAGAGGCCTGAAAGGAGGAGGTGAGAAAGAAACATCTCCATTTCAGAAAAACACCAGCTGTAATAACAACGAAATTGACCCTGCATATGCGTTACAGGAAGGTTTGGACAGACTACACCTCCACTCGTGGAATTTTTGAAGGACATTCTTCGGAGATACCCGGAGGGAGGACAAATTCTGAAAGTAAGTAAACGTTTTACTGTGCGCACTGTTTTTTATCACCTTAAAAGATCAATCTTGCTGATGTTGTAAGGAGTTATGGCTGAATATTTGTGTTAGATTCATCCTTACTCGAGGATGGATTGATAAGGACCTGTAATGACCCCCACGTCACAAACACTCACTGATTAGCTGCTTTGTGTGGAAGGAACTGATTCAAAACGCAGAGGATGCTGGAGCCACCGAAGTCAAGTTCCTGTACGACGAGACGGAGTATGGAGTGGAGTCATTGTGGTCACCTGACATGGCTCAGCATCAAGGTTAGCAATGAGCCGTCCAGTAAACCCAGCAGGATGATCGATGACTCTGATTTTGATCATAGCCCACATAATTAAACGTTCATGTTGGAAACACGTAGACAAAGAACGAGAAAGGAAAATTCTGTCACCGAAACTGTTGAATGAAGTAATCAGCAATTGATGCTTTTGTTAGACCTTGACTGTAACTTTGTGCTTACTTGCAGGAACGGCGCTGTACGTCTACAATGATGCCGTTTTCACTATGGAGGACTGGAACGGGATCCAGGAGATCGCAAGGAGCAGGAAGAGAGATGACCCGTTGAAAGTGGGGCGATTTGGTATCGGCTTCAACTCTGTGTACCACATTACAGGTGAGAATGAGAACTGTCTTAAAGAGCTCAATTTTAGTTAATGTGCTTCCAAATGTGTATCTTTCTTCTTTTGTGTAGTGAAACAGCAGTTAATCCATTTTCTATATAAATTCTCCTACTATCATGTGGATTCATCATCACCCAAACCCTAATACCCAAATAGATTTTTTGAGCCATTTTAACCTTAAAGGTTTGCCACAAATCAGTGCAAAATGAAAGCCGAGATAATTGTATCTAATGTAAAAGATAACAAGGTAGGCGTAAATCACCAGTTATAGCCTCCAGTAAATTGATAACAGCAAAGTAAGAGTCGTTTGATAAAAAGAAATCTGAATATTATAAATGTAGTATGTTAAAATGATTTTTTTCCTATGTTGTTTGTGTTGACATTTTAGATGTCCCGAGTATATTCAGTGGAGACCAGATTGCTATGTTGGATCCTCATCAGACCCTGTTTGGGGTGAATGAATCTGGACAGTGCTGGAACTTGAAGACAGACATCAAGGAGATCACAGAACTCACTGACCAGTTTTCCCCCTACTTTGGGATATTTGGGAGTTCTGACAAAACCATCAAGGATGGCAGCTTCCCGGGAACCCTGTTCCGCTTCCCACTTCGCATGACACCCTCCCAGCTCAGTGGGAACATTTACAACAAAGAAAAGGTTTTGGAGCTGTTTGAGTCTTTTAAAGCTGATGCAGACACAGTGCTCCTCTTTTTGAAGAGCGTTCAGAAGATATCTCTACACGTGCGAGAGTCTGACGGTACAGAACGCATGCTGTTCCAGGTCACCGCAACAGAGAACACGGACGACAAACTCGAGAGACCGAATGCTCTCAAGGCACTGAGTCAGGCCATAGACAGCTACAGCAACGGGGTTCCCAGCTCTTCCATGACATGTGTCACGTACCAGATGAACATTGAGAGTCAGGATGAAACGGCTAAAGAGACTCAGAGGATGTCGTGGCTGGTTTGCAATGGAGTCGGTGGCAGAGGGATGTGTGCCGAGTTGGACTCCCTGGCAGATGATTTGAAGTTCATGCCTTCGATCGGCATCGCCCTGCCTCTTACCCTGATCAACAAAGAGGAAAAAGGTGCCACATCTGGTTTCTCGGGACGAGCTTTTTGTTTCCTTCCTCTTCCGCCTGGAGAGGAAAGTGAGACAGGGCTTCCCGTTCACGTCAGCGGCTTCTTCGGCCTTACGGACAACCGAAGAAGCATCAAGTGGCGCGAGGTGGACCAGTGGAGGGATCCAGCTGCTTTGTGGAATGAGCTGCTCATAATCACTGTTATCCCCACGGCTTACTTGACTCTCATCATCGAGGTGATAAAAAGGGTGCAAACAAAAAAGGACCAAGACTTTCCTTTGTCTCCTACAGGGACATACAGAGCCTGGCCTGACCCTAAGCGGGTCAAGTCACGGTGGACGCCCATTCTCCAACCGCTCTTTCATAAACTGCTTCAGCACCAAGTCATTTATTCCCTCAGTGAAAGCTGGATCAGAGTGGACCAGGCAGTGTTTTCAGAGCTGGATGATGAAGAGGACATTTCAGAGACAGTGATCAACTACCTCCAAAGCTCAGGAATGCAAGTGGCAAAGGCGCCCACTGCAGTGGACTTTGTTTTGGCCGCCTACATGACTGAGTCCACTGAAGTGAGAAAGGTGACTCCGTCTTTGCTGCGGCAGACGATCAGGAAGAGCAAACACAAAGGCCCCGCAGAGGAGAAGCTGCTGCTGCTGGAGTTTGTGCTCAGAGACAATGATTACAGTGATCTTATAGGACTGGAGCTCCTGCCGCTGCAAGATGAGACTTTTACAACTTTTTCATCCTCTGTCACTGAAAAAGATGCTATCTACATCCCATCTGAGGAGTATCCCAGGTAAAGAAGATGGGATTTTTAAAATTTGTATTATTCCTCATTACCCTAAGCTGATTTTTTTTATTTATTAATTTGTGTTAAACTCCAAAGTCAACATCCAAAATTTGATCCAGCTTGGTTCAACGATATTAATAGATGGCTGAAGCAGATTACATAATTGATTCTTCATGCATCTTTAAATCACACAGTTGAAAATTTGTGTTAATTCAAAGGAAGGGGTTGAATGTCTTGTCCTTGGCCCACAGCATCTATCTGTAGTATTCAAGTGAATATGTTAAATGTAATGGAAGGCGATCTCTGTGAAAACAATAGCATAAACTTCTTGTTTTGGGGTTTTTCTTGAGGTCTCTGTATCCTGGACTTGAGCATCGGTTCATTCTGGAGAGCATAAAGCAATCAGTGATGGACAGTTTGAAGAAAGCAGCCAAAAGCAGAGGTAATAAAACATTTTATTTCCATCTCCTTTTATTTGCACACATTTATAGTTTTATTATGATTGAAAATATTGAATGTGAGCTATTTGGCAGAATTAGAACTCAAAATTATGCTGAAAGGGCCCCGCAGCCTTTTACTGACTCTGGGCTATGTGGGTTCTGCCATATTGTGGCAGCACAGGGTCCATCTTCATCCACAGCTGTGCCAGCTTGGTATTGAATCTAGAATGCTGCTGTTGGTTTATTTAGGGACTGGAGAAAGAAAATTGAAAGCGTGTAGAACAATGTGTATGAGCATGCTGATTCATGGATGAGTGCCTGTGCCCCACATTCCATTCGATCAAATCGTCAGTTTATCCATGCTCAGCCATGATTGTGATGAGAGGGAGATAGGCTAGGCCGAGGAAAGATGCAGATTGCTCATGTAAACTCAAAGTAAAAGGTACAAAGAGTATTGCAGTTCAACTGGATCTCAAAAATCATGGAGCAAACTTTTAATAATGTCCTACAAAAAAAGCCTAACTTTTTCAAAGGCTTGCTGGCCAAACATTATTCAAGCTGTCTTCTAAAATGAGACTGACTAAGAATGATACAGGATCATTGATTGCTGATGTTAAACAGCTAGTCTATTTTAGTGATGTGCATATTTTCTGGACTATAAGCTGTTCCAGTAAAAAAAAAGTTCCATGAATAGGAATAAATATGTGTTAGTTGCACTGGCCTCTGACTTGCATGTATTTATTTGTCTGAAAGGGCCAAGCAAGTTCATCAAGCTGCCAATTTTGTTCTATGTACCTCAGTTGTCTTTGGGTTTCAGTAGAGCAGCATTTCACTACAAATAAGACAATAAGAAACTCTAAAGCTCATCCACATGTTTAATTTGTCATTTGAATTGCAGTGCAACAGTTTCTCTGGGGTTGCTCAGGTAGGTTTTTCAAAGTGTGACAAATACCTTTTTATTTCTAACCAAAAGTGTCAATGCATGGCTGTGAATAATCACCATGGTAATACAGAGGTGATATAGGAAAGAAAAATAAACAACCACTAATATTTTTAGATGCTGTATTTTCTTTCTCACACATTATGGCAGTCAGTGTGCTTTTGCTTTTTGTTACTGTAAATACTTTTTTACAGACTGTGGAATGAGAAGAGTAAGCTCAGATTTGATTGCAATTTGGTATGAAATTAACAAATTGGGTTTATGCATATGTTTGTGTTAACATTTCTTTGCATGGATTACTTGGCAGGTGTTTCGAACAAAACTGATACTGAACTGAAACCGTTTGTGCAGTGATGCCCTCTTCATTTTTTTCCACTAACCATTTGACTTGAAATCTTTGAAATCTAATCTGTGAAACTCATTTGTCAGCATCTGAAGCTAATGAAATGTTCTTGTCATCATAACAGGGAGACCCTGCACTCAGCTACAAGTGCTTAACCCGGAACGGTCTGCTCGTCTCATCAAGGAGATTCTATCTACTGCCTGGCCAACAAGAGACTTCACTGTTGAGTGGGAACCTGGAAACACAGAGCTGAAGCATCCGTCAGTTTTGTGGTTAAAAATGATTTGGAAACATCTCTATATCAATTTCTCTGACGACCTGAATACCTTTGAAGACATGCCTTTGATTCCACTTGTGCCACTAGAGGAAAGCATGAGCACGGTTAAGCTTCTTCGTCTCAAGACTCCTTCTCCCATAATCCTTGTCGATGTTGAAGAGGCACATCTTTCTGAAAGCCTTCTAGAAATAATGGAAAAGCTCGGAGGAGTTGTGATAAAAAAGATGGATTTGTGTTTACATCATCCTCTGCTTAAGAATTATATCCGCCCGTGTTCTCCCAGTGTGCTTCTTCAAATTATGGATAGACTGTCAACACAGCGTTTAGCAAGTCAAGTCTCCTCTTTCTCAATCAAAGAGAAAATTGCACTCAGAAACTATCTTGCAGGACTGTCTGACATCACAGAGAAGGAAAAGCATACCCTTCTTGATGTCTCCATCTTTGAGAAGGTGGGGGCCTGTACTGAGGGTATCCCAGCTTTCACATCATTGAGAGGTGCTAGAGCTTTACATCATAGAGCTAAGTACCCACCAGATGTGAAATTGTCAGAAACCCTTGTGGCTTGCCGTGATGAGGAATCCATTCGTCTCATCAAGATGTTGAATGTTGAACAAGTTAAAACAACAGAATGTTTGAAAATGATTATTAAGGATATTGAGAAGGGTTTCTACACAAAAGACGAAACAACCCAAATCATGCTTTGGGCTCTTAAACATCTGGCTTTTCTAAAGAATGAAAACTCATCTGTGATAAGTTGGCTTTCCGCCCTGAAATTCATCCAGTTGCCATCTGGAAAGTCAGCCAAAGCCTCAGAACTTTTTGATCCTGAGCTGGAGATTCTGCAGCAACTGTTCTACATGGAAGAGAGAACCAGGTTTCCCACAAGTACATTCACAACATCCCCTGATATCCTTCATTCACTCCGACAACTGGGTCTAAGAAATGAAGTACAGCTCAGTGAAAAAGACGTACTTAAAGTGGCAAAGAAGTTAGAGGAGTTGCAAAGCAGTGAGGAGCCTGTCTGGGACCTCATAATCAAAAAGGCCAGAACTCTCCTGCAAATACTCAACAAACAGACAAAGCTCATCAAATCAGCTGATGCTCAGATGTCATTACTAAAACTGAAATGGGTACCTGCTTGCAAAGAAAGACCTCTGACCTACCCTAAATCCCTTGCTTGGGTTGGTGATACTCTCAACATCTGTTCTTTGTCTGAGATGTGTGAATTGTCCCATGCTGTGCTGGTGGGGTCCTCAGTGGCTTTGGTTGAACACACGTCGACAGGTATGAAGAAGGCACTGAAACTAACTATAGAGCCACAGGTAGATCAGGTATTGCAGCACTTAAAGGCAGTAAATGACTGGCATAAATCTCAGGCATTTACAACAGAGGATTGGTATCAGTTCCAGCAGATATTGTTTGAGATTTACGGCTTTATGCAGGCCCATCTTGAGGATGCGAGGGAAGCAATGAAATCACTGCCTTTTGATTGGGTGTGGACAGGGAAGACGTTCTCATCACCAAGCCAAACAGTCCTAAAACCCCTCCCTGATCTGGACATGCAGCCTTACCTGTACTCTCTGCCAAAGACAATGAGAAAGTTTCACAAACTTTTCAAGTTTTGTGGTTCAGTTGAAGAAGTTGTCCCGAGCCACGTGTTGGATGTCATCACCACCATCCAACAACGATGTGAAGGAGAAATAACTAAAGAGGAAAGCAAACATGACATTCTGCTATTAATTAACATCCTCAGATGGCTGTACAACAATCAGATACCTGTGGACACTAAAATGCACGTGCCCATTCTTTGTTACAAAGACCCCAGCAAACTATGTATGAAACCCATTCATGAATGCACCTACTGTGACATCAAGGTTGATGATTTGAATGACTTACTTGAAGATGCCTCCGAGCCAATCATATTGGTTCATGATGACATACCGATGAAAACAGCAGAGTGGCTAAAAGTGCCATGTTTGAGTACGAGGTTGATAAACCCAGAGAATCTTGGCTTTGAACAATCAGGCCAACAAGAGCCACTAACTGTGAGAATAAAGAATATCTTGGAGGAATATCCATCAGTGGCAGACATTTTCAAAGAGCTCCTCCAGAATGCTGATGACGCAAATGCAACAGAGTGCAGCTTCCTCATTGATATGAGAAAGAACACTGACATTCGAGAAAATCTCCTGGACCCCGGCATGATAGTTTGCCATGGACCCTCTTTGTGGTCTTTCAACAATGCTGTATTTTCAGACACAGACTTTCTGAACATCACACGGTTAGGTGGGTCAGTAAAAAGATGTGAAGCAGACAAAGTTGGAAAGTTTGGTCTGGGTTTCAACTCTGTCTATCATATTACTGATATCCCCATAATAATGAGCAGGGAGTTCATGATCATGTTTGATCCAAACATCAATCACATCAGTAAGCATATCAGAGACAGGTCAAACCCGGGCATCAAAATCAACTGGAGCAAACAACAGAGGCGGCTGAGAAAATTCCCCAATCAGTTCAAACCATTCATTAATGTGTTCAACTGCCAACTGCCTTTAGCTCAGGACTCCCCATACAAATACAATGGTACACTATTCAGACTCCCATTCAGAACAGAGCAGGAAGCATCGGTGAGCGAAATCAGTACTTTGTACTACAATACCACAGACATCTATTCTCTGGTTGACGAGTTCAGCATATGTGGCCATCGGTTCATTTTGTTCACTCAGCATGTTGGAAGTATGGTTTTGAAATACCTGAAATATGAGGAGCCAAACCCAGCAGGAGCGCAAGATGTTGTCATGATCAACAAAAGTGTTTGGTCATCCAAAGCCTCCTATGGGCCTCTGAGCATCCTCAAATCTGCAGCAAAGGTTATGAAGAAAGTGGGAAGCACCAATAGGATACCCGCGGACGTCCCCAAGTCTGGGTGCATCATACGTGTTATAGTGGAAGAGTTTCACAATGTGTTCAAACGCATTGTCGATCTTCACTCACCCCTCTTCAGAGGTTCAGAGGAAGACCCTAATCAGTACTTTGAAATGGCAGCTAAAGGTGTTCAGACACGAAGACTTACAGATGAAATGCAGCAGAAGGCTGTTGACATCACAAACTGGCTCATTTGCTCATGCATGGACGCAAGCGAAGCTCTTAAGTTCTCCCTCAGTGATAGTGGAAAACGACTCGGTCTTGTGCCTTGTGGAGGTGTGGGTGTTCTACTGATGGAGGAAGAGAATCGCAAATGGACTGTGAAGACAAATGCGACACCAATTGGAGAGGTGTTTTGTTACTTACCTCTCAGAATTAAAACAGGGCTACCAGTCCATATCAATGGCTGCTTTGCTGTCACCTCTAACCGCAAAGAAATCTGGAAGACGGACACAAAAGGACAGTGGAATGCTGTGTTCATGAGACATGTAATTGTGCAGGCATATTTAGCTGCCCTCACAATGCTGCGTTCACTGGCCGAAAGTGGAGAACTGCTTGACTACAGCTACTATGCAGCATGGCCAGACCCCAGTCAAGTACATGATGACTTTACACTGATCAGCCAGGGTCTCTACCAAGAGATTGCCAAAGGCGGTGACAGTGAGCAGGCAAGGGTTTTTTCTGATGGCTCAACCTGGGTGTCAATCAAATATGTCAGGTTCCTTGATGATGCCTTGCTCTGCAGGCCCGACATTGGTCCTGCTGCATTCAAGATATTCTTGAAATATCTCAAGAAGAGTGGCTCACAAAACCTCTGTGCTGTTGAGCTGCCTGAATGGGTGAAAGAAGGATTCGATGATGCTGGGTGTAAAGGAAAGTTAATGGAAAACACTCTGACAGAGAGGCAGTTTTTTTCAGAAGTCTTTTTCCCTCACATCCAGGAAATTGACAAAGAGCTTCGAGATCCCCTGATGTATTATGTCCTGAATGAGAAGCTGGAAGATTTTGCATCAATCCTCAAGATAACTCCTTGTATCCCATGCTCTGGTCCCAACAAGGAGCTGGTTTTACCCTCCAAGCTCATTCACCCAGAGGGAAGAGTTGCTAAACTCTACAACAATGACGATGGAAGATTTCCTGAAGGAACTACCAAAGACTACATAAATCCCGTGTGCTTAGTGAAGCTCTTGCAGCTGGGCATGGTGAAGGATGACCTGTCCTGGGAGGACCTGATTGAACGCGCTAATTCTGTCATTGATCTAAATGAAAATGATCATGCAGCTGCATGCTTTCGTACTAGTATACTACTGAGTTTGATTGATGAGAAACTGAAGTTGAGGCATACAGGAGCATCTGAACACTTGGATTCGCTACAGGACATCAAGTTCTTACCATTTCTGACAAGGCCTGCAGGCTTCTCTTTACCATGGCATGGAAACAGCTTTTCCCCGACAACTATGTTCTCACCTAAAGAGCTCTTCACAACCGAACACCAGGACACAGTGTGTTTGATGAAGCCAATCTTGAATGAAAACTCTCCATCATTCAAAGGTTGCGGTGCGATGTCATTGGCTGTGAAAGATGGACTTGGACTAATAAGGAAGCCGTCAGTTGTACTGGTAATCAGTCAACTGAAAAAACTGTCCCAATCATTTGATGGTGTCACTCTGTATCAGGAGAACATAACAAATGCATGTTACAAGTACCTTCATGAGGAAATGCTACAAGATGAAAATGTTAAAGATCAAATAACACAGGAACTGAAAGCCTTCAACTCCATTTTGGTGGAGAACACATATGTCAGTCCATGCAAAGTTGCATTCCACCTGAATTTTGATGCAGCACCACATCTTTATCAGCTCCCTAACAAATACAGAAACAGCTGCCGCGAGCTCTTTGAAAATGTTGGTGTTCAACCCAGTTTCAAAGTTGAAGATTTCTCTGCAGTCCTTGAATCTGTGAAGCAGAACTGTGGGCGAAGAACACTCACAGAAGAAGATTTCCAGTTGTGTCGCAGAATCATCAGTGAGGGAATATGGAGCTTAATGCGAGATAAGAACCAAGAGTACTGCCAAGCACATTACGGTGGGATTCTTTTACCAGACTCCTATCTAACACTGCAGCCATCAAAATCGCTATGCTACAATGACTGCCCCTGGATCAAAGTTAGGGACTCCTCTGTGAAATACTGTCATGGGGACATCCCAAGAGAGGTTGCTGTGAAACTGGGAGCTGTCCCAAAACGTCACAAAGCCTTGGAGAGATATGCTTCCAATGTATGTTTCACTACGCTTGGCAGTGAGTTTGGTCAGAAAGAAAAACTCACAAGTAGGATAAAAAGCATTCTCAATGCCTATCCTTCAGAAAAAGAAATGCTGAAAGAGCTGCTTCAAAATGCCGATGATGCCAAGGCCACAGAAATCTACTTTGTATTTGATCCAAGGACACATCCTACAGACAGAATATTTGATGATAAATGGATTCCAATGCAAGGACCTGCCCTCTGTGTATATAACAACCAACCATTCACAGAGGATGATGTCCGAGGCATTCAGAACCTCGGAAGAGGAACAAAAGAAGCCAATCCTGGCAAGACTGGCCAATATGGCATAGGATTCAACTCTGTTTACCACATTACTGACTGCCCATCCTTCATCTCAAACAATGACATTTTGTGCATCTTTGATCCACATGCACAATATGCGCCCGGAGCTACGTCTATGAGCCCTGGAAGAATGTTCAGAGACTTGGACTCTGACTTTCGCTCCCAGTTTTCAGATGTTTTAAATCTCTACATGGGAGCTCATTTCAAGTTGGAGCGGAGCACGATGTTCAGATTCCCTATCCGCTCTACCGAGATGGCAAAGACATCAGAGATCAGTTCTGTCCCTGCATCTGATAGAATGGTCCAAAACCTCCTGGACAAGCTAAAAACAGATGGGGCAGAACTTCTCATGTTTCTCAACCACATGGAGAAAATATCAATATGTGAAATCGATAATGCATCAGGTGAACTCAAAGTACTTTATTCTGTAAAAGCCAAAATATCAGACGGAGACAGGCTAAAGCGCAAACAGTTTCATGCCTCTGTCATCGATAGTGTGACCAAAAAGAAGCAGCTCACTGCTATCCCGGTCCAACAGATAACTTACACAATGGACATAGAGGACACTGATGGAAATTTGACCTCATGGATGATCTGCAATAGATCAGGATTTGCAAACATGGATACAGTCTCAAAAAGTGTCATCTCAGCTCACAAAAATGAAGACATAACACTGTTTCCACGTGGAGGTGTTGCTGCATGTGTAAGCCACAACTATAGAAAACCCCACAGAGCGTTTTGCTTCCTGCCATTGTCACTGGAGACTGGCTTGCCTTTTCATGTCAATGGTCATTTTGCCTTGGACTCGGCTAGAAGGAACTTATGGAGAGATGACAATGGAGTGGGGGTAAGAAGTGACTGGAATAACAATTTGATGACTTCACTGATAGCACCTGCTTGTGTGGAGCTGCTGATTCAGCTGAAACGCCGATACTTCCCAGGTCCTGATCCCACAATGACTGTGCTGCAAGGGTCACCGCTTCATTTTGTTAAGGATACGTTGCGAAAATATCTTTTCTTTTTTCCAGCTAACAGACTTGACATACAGCCAGATTGGTACTGCCTGGTTAAAGCAGTATACAACTGTATCCATGTTGACCTAAAGCGTCTGCTCCCTGTTGTCAGAGCAGCACAAACTGACAACTCTGACATGCATTCTGTCATTTACATTTCATGGGTGAATACATCCAGCACAATCAAAGGCAGAGCCTACTTTGATAATCTGCTACAAGATGAACTTCAACACTTGAAAAACACAGACTATAACATCACATCAAGAAAGTCTGTGGCCGAAAATGTCTACAGACTGAAAGCCTTGCTGCTTGATATTGGCTTCAACCTGGTTCACAGCTGTGATGAGACATCAAACATTTACCTCTGTTTGGAGGATGCAGGAATCCCAGTCGATTATGTTGCACCGAATGATGTCCGCAACTTTCTTCACACCTTCTCATCTCCAGACACTTTGTGCCATGTTGGCAAACTCCCCTGCCGTCTCCAACAGTCCAACTACAAGCTAGTCCACAACCTGAAGGTTTTAGCTGACTACTGCTTCAAAGACATAGAGGAAGATGAGGTCAAAATCGAGGGCTTGCCTCTGCTGATAACAATGGACAATATCCTTCAGGTGTTTGATTCCAAGAGACCAAAGTTCCTGACAACATATCATGAGCTAATATCATCAAGAAAAGAAATGTTCATAAACACAATGTACTTGAGATACAGCAACATTTTGCTCAAGGCAGGGGCTGCAAAGAACTTTGACATTAGCAGTTTTGGTGACCTGTTAGGGTCTGTCCTTCCAAGGGAATATCGGACTAAGATTCCCGTCAAATGGAGAGATACCTTTGCTAGTGAATCTTGGCTAAAGAATGTGTGGAATTTCATCAGTGAGAATATGGCTGTTAAGGAAGAGCAGGCAGATATTAAACCAAGCTTCAACACAGTGCTTGAGATTTTGAAAGACTGGGCTTTGCTACCTGGAATCAAATTCATGGCAAGAGAGAAGCTTGTTGTCCCAGATCATGATGTGCTGCTCCCTCTAAGCTTAATGAACATTGCCATATTTCCACATGGCCAAAATGACAAAGTCTTTCACACCCTAATGAAAGCAGGGTGCATCCAACTTGCGGTTAACAAAATCTGTGTGAAGGAGAATCAAATCATGCCTTTACTAGCACAACACACAGCTAACATTGAAAATCCATCAAGCATTCTGAAAGCTGTGGAGTACATGATTCACACATCTGCATTCAAAACCACAAACCTGACTGACAAGGACTTTGAGGCTCTACTGTTGTATTTCAACTGCAACCTGACTAACCTCTCACAGCAAGATGCACAGAGCCTTAAACTTCTTCCCTGCTTTAAGTCATACAGTGGGAGATACATCAGCATTGCTAACTATGGGGAAAACTACATCCTTTCAAAAAGTATTCCAACCACTGACATTGAAAAATGGGCCCACACGTCCTCATTTTCCTTTCTTGCTGACAGTCCACAGCTGAAAGAACTCTACACCTTCCTTGGCTGCGTGCCAATTGATGACCTGGAAATTTATCTTCAGCACCTCTTGCCAAAGTTTGAAAGTCTGTCCTACGATGCCAAAGTTGAACATGTTGTCTATTTAAAGGAGAGACTTATGTCAATGGAGGAATCATGCCAGATGAAGGACCAGCTCTATGAGAAATTGGACGGACTTTCATTCATCTATGACTACACAAACAGACTAAGGCCAACCAAGTTTTTCTATGACGAGACCGTTGATGTGTTCGAAGTTATGTTACCTAAAAAGTCTTTCATACCAAGTGACTTTTTTAAGAAAGTAGAGCAAGTGACAAAACCAAAGAATGGAACATTGTTGCTGACCTCATGGATAACCTTTCTGAGAAATATTGGTCTTAAATATGAGATATCGGAGCAGCAGGTTTTGCAGTTTGCAAAAGAGGTCAGCATCAAAGCCCAAACCGAGAGTTGGACCAAAGAAAAAGTGCAAACTATTGTTGATGTACTGTTAAACCATATTTTCAAAGAGAGAACTGACCTGTTCCAAGGCACTTTTCTAAAGGAGCTGTCGATGATACCATTTCTGTGTCCAGAGAGAGCCCCGAAAGAACTCATTAAGCTTCATACTCAGTACCAAGAGATGACTGGCACCCTTCCTCTAATTCGTTTCAATGGATCTCAAGTAAACCCAAAATTCAAGCAGACTGACATTATTCACCTTCTTTGGACATCGTGTCCGATCCTTCCTGAAAAAGCCACACCGTCAAGCATAAAGGACCAAGAGGACAGCTCTCTCAGCGGACAGGAACAACTCGACCAGGTGTTGAATATGTTGGGCGTCAACTTAGACCCACCACTTGAGAAAGTCATAAGCAACTGTAAGAACATTTGCAACATATCCAACCCGGATGATGAAATGGTAAAAACCAGGAACAAAGTTCTACGGTCCACATACGAGTTTCTCAATGCTGACAAGCGAGATTTCCGTTACCAGCTCCGTGGTGTGGCCTTTGTCATGGTTGAAGATGGCTGGAAACTGTTGAAACCTGAAGAGGTGGTCATCAACTTGGACAATGAATCTGACTTCAAGCCCTACTTGTACAAATTACCTCTAGAACTTGGTACCTTTCATCAGCTTTTCAAACTTCTTGGCACAGAGGACGTTGTGTCAACCAAGCAATATATTGAAGTGCTGTGGAGAATTTTTAGGAGTTCAGAGGGAAAACAGCTCGACCCAAATGAAATGAGAACAGTGAAGCGGGTGGTGTCCGGTCTGTTCAAGTCTCTTCACAATGATCCAGTGGAAATTCGCAAAGATCTAGAAAGTCTTAGAGATTTGACTTTTTATTTGCCAAGCCACGATGGTAGACTAGCAAAATCCAATAGCTTGGTGTTCGATGATGCCCCACACTACAAAAGCAGAATTCAGGGTAATGTCGGGGTTCAGATGCTTGTGGACATGAGTCAGTGTTATCTGGGAAAAGATCATGCCTTCCACACAAAACTCATCATGCTACTCCCTCAGAAGCTAAGGCCTAGGCTGTTGAGTAGCATTCTCGAGGAGCAGCTGGATGAGGATTGTCCAAAAATGTGTCAGTTTGGAGCTCTTTGTTCACTACAAGGTCGCCTTCAGCTGCTGCTGTCATCAGAGCAGTTCATCACCGGCTTGATCAGAATAATGAAGCATGAGAATGACAACGCGTATGTTGTGAATGAAGAAAAAGCCATTCGTCTCTGCAAAGCCCTCTGTGAGGGATTAAAAGTGTCCTGTTTTGAAAAACTTCAGACCACTTTAAGAGTAAAAGGATGCAGTCCTATTCCAAACAGCCGCAGTGAAACACTTGCCTTTCTAAAGAGATATGGGACTGCTGTGATTCATCTGTACATCCAACATTCAGACAGTAAAGACATTAATTTTCTTCTGGCTCTAGCAATGACACTGAAATCTGCCACAGACAATTTGATCTCTGACACATCATATCTGATAGCCATGTTGGGCTGCAATGATATCTACAGAATCACAGAGAAGTTGGACAACCTTGGCGTTAAGTATGACTCAACAGAGCCTTCAAAACTGGAGCTGCCCCTCCCTGGCACCCCGATACCAGCTGAGATACACCACACTCTGCTCATGGATCCAATGAATGTATTCTATCCAGGGGAATATGTGGGCTACCTTGTAGACTCTGAAGGTGGAGACATATATGGCTCCTATCAACCAACCTATACATACGCCATCATTGTACAAGAAGTACAAAGAGAGGAGGAGGACAACACAAGTTTCCTTGGAAAATGCTTTCAGATTGACATTGGTTACAGTGAGTACAAAATAGTCAGTTCCCTTGACTTGTACAAGTTTTCAAGACAGGATGAAAGCAGCCACGTTCGAGACACTAGTGCCCCCTCAACCCCTACAGGCCCAGAGATTCGTTCCTCTGGCCTACGAATGGTCCCACCTCTCTTTTCTGGTAAGGAAAACCTGAGACCTCCCACTCAAAAACAATCACCCAAAAAGATTAAGCTTCACGCTTTGCCTGAGATTTTGAAAGAAGTGACCTTAGTAGTCGAACAAGCGTGGAAGCTGCCTGAGACAGAGAGGAAAAAGATAATCCGTCGATTGTATTTGAAGTGGCATCCAGACAAAAATGCAGAGAATCTGGATATTGCCACAGAGGTGTTCAAGCACTTGCAAAATGAGATCAACAGGATGGAGAAACAGTCTTTGGCTGATCAGCAGAATACAGACAGGACTTCCAGGAGATCCTACCCTACATCATCAGCCCGCTTCCAGTCAGACAAGTTCTCATTTCAAAGATTTTACTCGTCCTGGAACCAAGAGGCAACTAGTCACAAGTCAGAAAGGCAACAGTTCAGGGAACATTACACAAGCTATGCAGGGTCATCCCACTCTCACCGTTTCTTTGTACCGCCGACCTTCAAGACAGTTGGGAACCCCGTGGAGGCACGCAGGTGGCTGAGGCAAGCCAGAGCAAACTACTCCGCCGCACGCAATGATCTTCACAAAAACGCTAATGAGTGGGTTTGCTTCAAATGCTACTTGGCCACAAAGCTTGCTCTGATCGCTGCTGACTACGCTGTCAGAGGAAAATCTGACAAAGATGTAAAGCCGACAGCTTTGGCTCAAAAAGTGGAGGAGTACAACTCCCAGCTAACAGGCCTCGCCAGTGATGTTCAGATCCTGGAGGGGTATGGCGTGGACAGCCTAAGAACTCGCTACCCCGATCTCCTGCCGTTTCCACAGATTCCCAATGACAGGTACACTTCTGAGGTGGCAATGAGGGTGATGGAGTGTACAGCACGGATTATCATAAAGCTTGAAACATTTGTGCAGCAAAAGATCTGATGATGCATAGATCCTCAGTGGAAGTAAGATTACCGTTGGCTGTGTGCAATACAGATCATTTAGTATCCAGCTGGCAGCTTATGATACATATGCAGTCTCCGTCTGTGATTATGGGGCAGTGACCCTTTCACAGTGAATAATTGTATGGCTCTTAAAACCTGTTAGGCCGCATTTCTGCATATGCTGTACATACAGATGCCTCAGTGATATGTTTTGTTTACCAAAGTCCCCATACTGATGATATTTGCTCCAAGTTAGATTTTAAAAAGTGCTGCTTTTTTACTTTATCTTTTATAAAAATAAAAAAAAAGAATGAATATATTTTCTTGCTACAGAAACCAGTTGAGTGTATTTAAAGGATGCGCTTGTGAAATACTTTTATCCTTGTCAAACACTCATGCCACATGTCCTATGTGCAAAAGTCTGAGTAGGTCAAGAAAATACAATCATGTTTGTAAATGTTCTTTTTTTATATATACTTTTGAAGTTGTTTTCATATTATTTCTGTAAAAGTTGTACATTTCCTGTAACATAGCCTGTCTACTACTTTATGAACAAAGCACCTTTTTGAAACTCATCTACTTACATTTGCACTTGTGTAGCACTAGCAAGTTCAACAACTGTGAATAGACCTTTTGAATTGATTTAGACTCACTTGTTCTTTTTTTTCCTTGTTGAATCGTTTGCATTGTTGAACATGTTGTAAATGTAGTAAAAGTGAGGCAGTTAGTGTCAGGCTTGGGATTTGACCTAAAACCACCCTTTTTTCCCCTTGATTTATCAAATGCTTATTCAAGGATATACAGTAGGATATTGTGACAAAGAGCCATATAATGCTGGTGTGGGCACAACCGCAACATGTAACTTTTGCCAGCTTTAATACCTGTCCATGCATTTTCTGTGATTGAACTTTAATGGTTTAAGGAACATAACATGGTAAAAACTGTGGTGCTTGTGTATTTTTACTTTTCCCAACCTTATTTAAGTCATTTACACACACACAGTGACCACATAATGTACATACCATTGACAACAAAATATAACTAAAAATGTGGTTCCTGGAATCTCCTCTTACTCATGCTTGAGGCGCCTCAGTGGAGTTTAATCTTCTTGACTGACCCATGGGCACCCTACCTGGTAATGTATGCCATAGCAAGGCCTAATAAATTCCCCTTAAATGAACTGGGTTAGTTTGTTCTTCTAAATTATGCAAGTTGCTATATAGGAGAAAACTCTTTGTAGTATTTTTAAATGGTTGTCTTTCGGGGCGGCACGGTGGTGTGGTGGTTAACACCATTGCTTCACAGCGAGAGGGTTCTGGTTCAAGTCCCTGGGGGAACCAGGACCTTTCTATGTGGAGTTTGCATGTTCTCCCTGTGTCTGCGTGGGTTTAATCTGGGTACTCTGGCTTCCTCCCACTGTCCAGAAACCTGCATGTTAGGTTGATTGGAATGCGAGTGTGCATGGTTGTTCGTCCTTGTGTGTCTGTGGACCGTCCAGGGTCTACCTTGCCTCTTGCTCTTTATTAAACTTATTTTAGACTTAAGGAGACAAACATGATCTCATGAGCAAGAGAAGTACTGCAGAGGTTCTCCACTAGGGGGCATCAGAATCATCATAGTAATCATGGACAACAACAAAAAAAATAGTACTTTTTTTCCACCTGAAGCATTTAACAACAGAATAAATAATTTGTGGCACCTAAAATATATCTTGATTCGTCTAACGAAAAAAGACATACTTCTGGTCTGTTTTTCTCCATAGGGTTTAATAGGATAACAGAACAGCACACTTCATGAAAAAAAACATTAATGTATGAGTAACACTGAAACAGTTCATTTAGCATAAAAAATTCATAAATACACATTACACACAACCTGGCCTGATGTGAGAACTGCATATCACCTTTAACAGATGTTCCAGTGACATCACAACAACACAACATAATCAATTAATCTTAGCAAAAACTTGTATTCAACCAACTATATGAATCAACTCTAACAAAGGCAAAGAACAACACCGTTAAATAATAAGGACATGCTGAAAATAAAAATAGAAAACCCACATACCAAGGGCTTGGAGTCAAGGAGGGTGAAATAAACCCAAACGATTATCGTTAATAAAACCATGTCCACATTCAAAAGATTTTCATTTCCAATTTTCCAAGTCCTGGACATGTTTTCATTTCATTTATTGCACCACAAGATAATATTGCATAGGATGTAAGCTGTTACCAGCTCCTCATTGCCCAGCCTTTATACTGTGTGTAAAATATTCTTTGTGAAGCTCTGATGCAGAAAGAAATTACAACCTAGAGCCAAATTTGTTCAGCTGAATAGTTAGAAGTTCACAAACGCAACTGGAAAACAATGCAGTTCAAGATATCTCAGACATGTATGCCAGCGGGCATTTGCATCTTCACGTGTGCCATCATCGCAAATCCACTGTGCTATGAAGATTATAAAAGAAAGAAGAAAAAACTGTGCTCCATAGAAAGTTGTGCTCACTGCTCCCACAAGATGCACCCTCAGAGATATGGGAAGGCGATGACCTTGTCAGAGTCTATCTAGCAGTTCTGATTATCACTGCAAGTGGAAGTTCTTCCAGCCTGGGAGAGGAAGAGCTTCCCGCTGGGACAGACGCAAACCTCATACAGGCCTTGAGTGTTTCCGGACACCTCCTCCTTGCTCAGGGGCAGGTTGGGCATGCGCACCGTCTCAGCATCCAACACCAGCTGCAGGGAGGAGTAAAGTTTCCAGCAATCATCAAAATCATTATGCAGGCTAGTCTTGTATCAGGAAATGCAGCATCAGGGATGGATTCATTACATCGGAAAATCGAGCCTTAAAAAACAGATATATGGCGACTCCAGTAACTTTTGCCATTATCACAACCTCGCAAGAAAAGAGGGCCGATGCAGTGTTAACGCCTTAAATTTGTGTTATTATAAGAACGTGGATGTCAATAAGCTTAAAGGAGACATAAAGAGCTAATATTATACAGCCCGTTAGCTTTATGAAAGATGGTAATCAGCCCTGATTCAGACAGAATTATTTAGCAAATTCTGTATACAGCCACAAAAAGCACTGCGAAGACACTGAGCTCAGTGCAGCCTGCATGAAGCTGAATAACAGCCAGCTTTACAGATGTACCAAAATATGGTAAGAGGTAGAAGTGACACAACTATCTCTCCGAAGACAGTCCCTTAAGCGTTTTTCACATAAGTGTTTTGAAAATGAGAAAAGCGAAGCTGTTGCAAGTGTGACCTCCAGAGATGATAGAGGGCCACAGCGGCAGCAGGTTTTTAGAGTGGAGGCGTGCTGCCCATATCCCCCGCATGAGCTAAAGACAGAAGAACTCTGAAGACGGCGCGTGGCAGACAGCCAGCGGATAAGGGGGTGTCTTACCAGCCCTAAAGTTGACTTTAGGATAACGTCCATGGTGGAAGCTGCCTCTATGTTTCCTGCCAGGGCTTTGATATGAACTCCTTTTGGAGCGTCCATAGTCAGGGACCGGGTGGGGCACTCCATTCTGCAGAGAGGCAGTGTGGACAACAGTTTTTCAGCAGATTTTAATGCCAATGTTGATTGTTGCTGCCACGTGAGCACTTGTGAAGACACCAGCAAGCCGTGAAATAAAAGATGAGGACGTGCTCACCGCAGGTCTTTGAAAGGTTCGGACTTCAGCAGAGGCACCTCCACCGAGTGCTGGAACACGGCCCCCTCAGGACCTGTCACACAAATGAGACACACAAATCTCCGTCAAGATGTGCTTTGTTGTTTTACCTGCTGCAGTCTGGAGGCAGCTGCCCGCAGAGGACCATTAAGCCTTTCTACCCTTAACTGATACACAATGATCCTTCTAACACTGAACCTCTTGTTGACTTTTAGCTCACTCCTTGTAAAAGCAGGTCATTGCAGGCAATGCAAGCCGACCGTTTAAAATGAAGGCTTGGTCATAAACAAAGCTGAAAAGCTGATATGGGTGAAAACACAAACTCTGGAGCGTAGAAGCTTTGGTTAAAGAATTTGACCAAAAAAAAAGGCTCTTTGGCCGCAGCATCCGGTTCTGAATTTCAAACTGACCCACAGGCGATGTGCGGCTATCAGCTGACTGAGCATTAAACAGTGTGCAGTCAGAGGCAAAAAACCACCATCAACAGAGAAACTGACCCAAAAGGCTGGAAAGAAATATTTGAAGATATTCACCCCCCAGCTCCCTCCTATAATGCGATGGACTATGTGATACTGTTATTTAATGTGTCACATGTTGGCTTAAAACTAAAAAATACTCATATGATGGAAATCTTTTCCTCAGAAGTAAATAGATGTTTTTTTTTATTGTTCGAAAAATAAGTCTATAAATTCAGTCTTTAAATTTGATGTAATAATAATGAGGGCCAAGTCTGAATCCTGTAGCAAAGCTAACTCTAATGCCTCCAGACACAAGATGGACTCAACAAAACAGATCAAGTCAGAACTGAACTTTCAAAGTCTAATCTGTGTCAGGAAATAAGTAGTCAAAGAATATATGAACAAGACCTTTAACGCTGCTTCTTGATCTTTTTTTTTGTGCTTAATATTGCAACCACACCACAGGGCAGCAGGCGTGCACCGTATCCATGGCGACAGCAGGCAGCAGACGTACCTGTGACCCGCAGTTTGTCCGGTCCGATCGCAGCCTGGTTGCCGTCTGCTCTGAACAGCATGTTCCCGTTGTGGGAGTCAATCTGCAAATTCTGAGTGTGTCCCTGAACCTCTTTTGGACCTGGAGCAGCGAAAGAGAAAAGAAAAAAAACACCTGAATGGGGAGGGGCTGGCAATTAAAAACCAAAATAAAACTGATCTGTGAACAACACGCAGCCTTCTGCTGCCTGGGAGCTTTATTCCATCTGCGGGGAAGAAGGGAAGGTGGTGGAAGAGGTGAGCAAACGGCCTCCTGATGAATAGACTCGCACCCATTAACTGCTGAGAAAATAACCTCATGTAGAGCCGTTTCATCACATCCGCCCACAGGCTTTACAGCCAGCAGACGTCTCTCTCTCTGCCCCCGTCTGCCCCCAACACACTCTGCCCTGACAAGTGTTTCACTTTTATGCTCGGAGGGGTCAAGAGCACGCGGGCTGCGCTTTTTTTTTAATGGCTTAATGATCAAGGACACATCGTGCCACTGTGGAACACGGTAATTAGTTAGGTCGTTTGGTGGCCTTTTAATTATGACAAAGTGCCCTGCCGTGGCCATTGGCGAGCCATAAAAGCTGCACACGTACGGCCCTCCGCAGGCCTCGGGGCCCTCGGTGTGAGATAGAGAGATCCAGAAGCGGGGACAGAGGAAAGGAATGCCGCGTGAGATGGCTTTTAAATGGACATTTAAGGGATTTTGAATTGAATGATGGGCTGCTGTCACTCTTAACGAGGGATGTGGAACCCCCGGGGGGCGGCGGCCGTCTTGGCCGTCGCCCTCATACTTCACCGGATGGGAGGTGTAACACCGGGCCCCTCACCCACAGATATCCTCCCCCGAACGTCACCGTTCTCATCGCGGGCATTAAGGGAAACGTTTTCCGACGAGCGGGCCACAAGCGAGGAGTCCTAGAGAGGGGGGAGAAAAAGCAAAACTGTCACATGGTCCGGTTTAATCACGAAAGTGAATGAGTTCTGCTCCTGCCCAGGTCATGTTACAGTTCAGGCCTCTCCCTTTTCAGGTTGAGTCACTAAAAAGTGAGTCTGCGTGAGAGAGCTCGTGCGCCCGTAAATGAGCAACACCTTCCTCTTTAATGAAGGCAGGGAAGTAGGAATAAAACGCTATTAAAATTGCTGCCGTGTGCAAGAAAAGCCATAACATGTAAACAACTGCAGCAAAGTGTTCCCATCTGCTGCTAGAAGGCAGGCCGTAAACTGCTCCCCACCGCAAATATCCCCGAGGTGGGCTCGTGGGGAGCTGAGCACTCCACCACGTGCACTGTGCACGAGTGCCAAATCCAGTTTTGTTCTGAAACATCCCTCCCCAAAAGCTTTAAACAGAGAAAAAGGGCTGTCAGAAATATGACTAACGACAAAATAAAGGAAAGAAAACGGATTGAGGGTTTACACAGCATAGTTTCGGGATGATAAAAGCACCTGCAAATGTGTGCCTGGTAACAAGATGTTAACAGAGGATAGAAAAAAGAATAGAAAAAAATGACAAAACAGAGGAATGTGGGAAGAAGAAAACCATGTAGTGATTTTGATGATCCTACTTCTCTGGAGTGGATCTCCTCGGCGTAGACGGGAAAAAGAAACTCCGACTCGCCTTCCTCCAGCCTGACCCCATCGGAATGCACTTGTAGGAGTCCCATCCCTTCCTATGTAGGACACAGGATCATGGATTTAAACAAGGTTTAACAGAAGTCCTCCTTCTAACTTTGAAGAGGCTATTATATTATGGCCTCTCTTTGCAGGATAGCGTGTCAACATATGCACGTTTATGTTAGTGGGCTTGTTTTGCTGCATCTTTCGGGTTATGTTTTCTGCATAACTCCACATCTGCCATCTGGACTTTAGACAGAAAAACTGAAATGACAGATGGACTGTCACGTTTGGGCCCCAGCTAATGATGGATAATAGCTTTAAAAACCGCAATCATACAGCAGCTCTGTAAGCGTAGCACAGAGACGGGTTTTTAAAAAATTATTCATAGAAGAGATCAAAATCTGATAACGCCATCTTCTTTGTGAGCCCCCCTCACCGTATTGAAGCGCATCACCCGGAGGATCCAGATGGTGAGGGCAAAGTTGACCACCAGAATGACGATGAGCAGCAGCACGAACAGGTAGAGGCAGCGCTTCCTCCAGCCGTAGATGCCGATCTTGTAGACGGGGTCGGGCAGCGACCTGGGCGAGCCGCTGCCCAGGGTGGTGGTCACAAACTGCTCCCGCACCATCTGTAGGTGGAGCACAGCGCACGCTGACAGGTATAGGGCCACAGAAACAGGCGCTTTGCAGTGAGAGGGGACGTGGCATTCCACAGACATGGAAAGTAGCGTTATTATGCTGCGTGCGGCTCCACTGGTTGGAACTCTCGGAGCTCCGGGCAGGAACCGTACTTCCTTTCAAATCACTTCAGTCTCAGTTCTGTTTATTTAGACTGCAGCGTAATAACATAATAAGTATCATTTTGTGTGTTTTGGTTTCTCGTTAGTCTTGAGAGACATATTCAGCTAAACGATCCACCGGTTTTTCGGATAGTTAATATCACTGTCAACTTTTATATTACTGAAACAGACAATGCTTCCTCCTTAGATTTGCACTGTTTACTTCACAACTCCAGACATATGCTGCAGTAATCTTGACATTTTTTGTTACATCTAGCTTTAGATGAGTTTAGGCTATTTTCAGAATTTAAAAAATGGTCAATTTGGGATTACGCAACCTCACAAATCATAACTGATGTCAAATCATTCATCAGTGATGGCAGCAGTGATAAAGCACAACGGTAATAAATCTATCAACTATTCAACGGCGTATGGTTTCATTTCATCTTTTCTTTGGGTTTTCTCCCAATGAAACCCAAATGAGATGCAATGGCTGAGAAGCAGGTTGGCAGCAGCACAGCCAGCTAATTTGGAGAAGAACAGATCTGAACACCTGTTAAAAGTCTTTGTAGAGGTGAGTTCGACATTTCCTCGCAATGATCCTGTTTACAAAATGTGATTGATTAGCAGCAGAAATTCAAAGAGGCAGCGTCACAGAGAGGACAAAAAACAGGAAGCAAACGCCTGACCTTGCCTATAATGATGTCAAACACAAAGGACACTATAGAGATTCTTTTCAGATGCACCGATAAATGTGTGGAGCAGAATTTAAGGATAAGGGAGGGCTTTTTCCCTGCGTGGCCAGAGTGAGTTTTGTGGCATATTTAGGCCAAAAATGGCTTTTGCTGTTGATTGTAGCAGCTTCAAGCACACAGTCATGGTGATTAATAGTGTACTCGCACATATTTACAGAGAGGTATTTTGCCAGTCCCAAAGAGGAATTTTCCTTTAGCCGGTTACTATATCTGATGTTTGTTTGCAATCTGTCTATTTTTCCATCTAAGGTCATATATAGATGTCATTCCATAAATCTGCCACCATGATTAGAATAAACGCTAACACTTAGAGGAGCAAAATTGGACATCATTGGAATGGGACCAACTGAATACATTCAATTAAGTAACATTCAAGCTTTTATTCCTTTGTGGTAACGGGTTTCTGTTCAGTTAGTCGATGAAGATGTTCGGTGGTTTGTCACGGCTGACAGTCTGATTTTATAGGTAGGCAGCATCCATTGTTTATGTGGATCTTTTTTAGCCTTTCAGCTCAATTTTTGGACACAGAACCGGTTTAATGGCACCTCCACATGATGCCTTGCTCGCACAGCGTGCACTCTGTGATTTATGTGCCCAGAGCTCGTGCACGGACGAAGGGGAATATCTGGATAGTTGTGCCAGTGGAAAACATGAGAGACTTTTCCTGCAGTTTTTTTTTAAAAGGCAAAGAAAAATGCCTCTTATTAAGGAGCAGAGGCTGTACTTCTTGCTAAAGCAGCATCGGCTACCGGTGACAAAAAGCAGGCTGATGGGTCTCAGCCTTTTTCAAACGCCAGGGGGTATTTAAAGTCAGGGCCCAGGGGTGGTTTCTGTGTTCTCTGAGGGCAGAGACAGTTCCCACTGCAAAACCTGTGAGCCACTCCCATGAGCAACATATGAAATGGTGACAACAGGGAACATTCAGGAAAGATTTCTCACTGACAAGAAAACAATGTGTTCAGGGACTTTGGAGCAAAAGAGACGAGTGCTGTCACTTTCAACGGCTTAATCTGTATCTATGACCAGAAATAGGCTGAAGAACATAATGCTGTCAATGATGAAGCCTGGAGAAAATCAGGAGAATGTCGGCAGTTTTAAAAAATGGCAAGTAAAAAATAAAATAAAAAAAACACCCAGAAGAGGCAGAAAAAATGAAGGCAAGCTGCTCCTGATATTCATCGGTTCCACAGAAGAGCCGGGTCTAAATCTCATAGAAAAACTTTCCCCCCCTTCTCATCTTTATTCTGAACTTGACAGGCCCCAGACCGGAGGAGCTCCTCTGATTTGCATTCAGGTGTAAATCAGAGCGGGACGTCGCAGATGTTGCATTACAGAAAGGGTGCTTTCCATCATGTTAAAGGAGACGTTTCTGCAGCCAAAAAGGCACGAACAGATGTTGAGCTGAGAACTTTGTTGTCCTTCAGCGGCTCCTCTGTGGGCCGAGCGGGGAAAAGCACCAAATCTGCATGCAGGGGAGGGGGCAAGCCTTCTGAAAAACACAATCTGAAACGGATTTCTGTGAATAATGAAGGTGTACGCTGCTCCGGCCCGCACTCCCAAGGGGGTGAGGGATAAAAGCAAATGAGCTCCACAGCTCTCTGAGGTCCGGGAGGAGAAGGTGCAGGCCTCTCGCCGTTTGCGGTGAACGCCGGAAGGCGGGCGTGCCGGCATGAAAGGGCCGCCGGCGTTTCTGCCACCGAAATCTGCCTCTCCACAGGACCTGTCACACGGCCCGCAATCCTGGCTGTGATTAATAGCCTCTATTTCTCAGGCAAACAAATAAATGTTGCCCACAAATGGGAAAGGGAAAACATGAGTGCGATATCTCCACGGGGGCAGAGGAGAGGGAGGCTCGATAAGGAGCGAGTTAAAATGGAAATGCTCGTTTTTCTTGGCTGCGCGTCACCCCGGTTTGGTATTTATTAATCAGACGTGTACGGATGAGCTCTAATGAGAGACTGAAACTTTTGAGAGCACGCCCGAACTCTGGCAAATGTGGATTTATTTCTGTTGTATTCCAATGTTTTTTTATTTGTCCAAGGGACTCCTCTTCTACGGCTCAAAAAGAGGAGTAGCAGCTTCAGTTTCAATTAAGCGCCTTCCAATATCCCCAACAGCTCACCTCTCATCGAGCACAGACGTTTGAGTGCTAACACGTCCATCAGCTCTGGCCTGAAGCCAGTCAGCAGCAAGCTCCAGCGAGCCCCGGCTTTGTTCATTACGATGTTAATGAATTTGCCGTAACCCAGCCTAATTACTTTAAACAAACACATTAAGAGGCTTCGCTCCTTCAGAAGCAGGAGGAGGAGGAGGAGGCGGCCGCTCTGAGGAGGGATCTTCATCTCTAGTTTCAGCCTCACCACCAGCCCTTCAGCCACAGACTGATCCTGCCATGGCAACCCAAATAAATACAGCCCGAGCAGCCTCGCGGCCTCAGTGTCAGGAATGCTCACGTACGGGGCGTTAGAGACGGAAAAAGGACTCTTCCTCAGGCCCGTGCCCTTATTCTTTAAGCTCACAAGCCACTGAAATCAGTTTGTTCTACACACATCTTCCTTTTTTCTTTTTTTAAAACTTCGGCAATGGCAAGTGAGGCAGCTTGAACAAACACTTTGTTTTTTAAATCCTGAGGGTGAATGGCACTTGGTTGGGAGGTTTGCATTCAGCCAGGCTGCGTCCCTCTGGCCACCCTGACCTCTAACAAGAGACCCCCCCTCTGCCTGTTTGGGTCTCGGGCCTCACGATGAAAGCCGGAGCCCAGCAGGACGGGCTGGCGGCTCACTAATAATCCTGTAACGTAGACTCCATGTTAAAAAGCCACGTTGAAAGGGAGAAGGAAGTCTGGTCAGAGGACGTTTGCGGGGAAGCCCTCACAGGAGCTCTCAGCTCTGAGATAAAGTTTCTGTCTGTGGGTAAAATAAGTGTCCAGCCTCATGTCTCCACTCTGCTCTGATGCCTTCACTTTCTAAAAATAGGACACGGTAGTCTGAGCTGTTTTTTTTTTTGTTTAAAGTTCTGGGGCAAAACAAACGTACAGGACATACCGAGTCATAAGTAATAAATAAGGAGAGGACAGCAGCTACTTGCGGCCCACTTTGTGTTATGTGTTGAGTTTCCATGAAGTGCTCCTGTGGCTGCTCCTGGCCATGTATGGTCAGGAGCTGCTGACAGCTGGCCAACCTAAAGCATATTTTCCAAATCCTACACCACCTCTGAAGGGATTGAAAAGTAATCGCAGCACAAAGTATTGAGGGAAAGAAGAGAACAGAGGAAAAACTGGAAACATGAACAGTGGGGGAAAGATTCCCTCTGCAAAAGCCCTGAAAGTTGAAGTCAAAGCGAGGCGGACAGATGAACAGATATGGAGGAGAAGGGAGAGAAAGGCTGAACTACTCACGGTGGCGTGCCCGGGCGCAGCGGTCCTCGTTCCAAAGCGGCAGCTCGAGCTGGAGGGGCAGCTTTGAGAGGCAGCAGCGGCTGAGCTGAGCTCCTCACGCGTCTGTCAGCCGCTCAACAGCTGCGCGCCGTAAATCCCCGGGCCGGGAAATTTACGCCACCAGAAGGCGCTACCGCTCCCCGGCATGCCCAACGCCGACCAACTCTGCCTCCCGAGCCCGTCCTGCACACCTCTGCCGGTAGAGAGAGAGGGGAGGGAGGGAGAGGGGGTGTGAGATGCTCCGTGTCTCCATCACACACACACACAGACGCACAGAGACACACACACAGATGCACAGATTTGCGCACAGAGACGCGCGCAGACGATGATCCACACTGATCAGAGCCAGATGTTCGTCCCCTCACAGCTGTCCTGCTCACACAGGAGCACCACGGTGGCTCTGGACACAGGGACGTTAGCCAGAATCTCAAACAGGTGGCAATAAGACGGGGAAAGGTGAAGTGAAGTGTCACGGAAATGGAAATCGTTTGGCTGTGCGTACAATATCGAATTGCTTTTTTTTTTGTTTTTTTTCCAGACTTGATAAAGAGCCACAAGTAACTGCAAGAGCATCCTCCAATATTGGCTCAATCACAGGGAGAAAGTTCTAATTACAAAATCACTTTACTGACCCCTGAAGGGAAACTATGCTACCGCAGAGTTAATGTTTTAGTTAGAGAAATTATTTTATCGTTGAGTGTGAAATAGAAAATACATTTTCACAAAAAAAACAAGCTTTAAAAGGTTTAGGTGACGCGCGCAGGAAGGTGGAGAAACGTCCAGCCGTCTCTGGTGGTGACACACCTGCATGTAAAGCCGCTTCAACATCTGGAATGCAGAGGTGCTCGTGGTGCTCCCTCTCTGTGACACGGCCATGATTACGCATCACTCTCGGGTGGCGCTCCCCTCGAGACGGGCCACCTTTCTCTGTGGGTTTCTGCTGAGATTGCCTCTGTGGAAACAAACGTCTGAAAGACCCTCTGAGCTGTGCGGCTAGAAAAATACCTCAAATCGAGGTGGGTTGCAGGAAGAAAATGGAGAAAGAGACACATTTAGGTTGCATTGTTTTTAGTTTGTTTTTCTCCTCTGGACTATGACAGCGTGACATCACTGATGGATCAACTGGAGTTGGTGCAGACCAGGAGCTCCTGGGCACCTCAGACGTTTGATCACCTGATCTGGACCTCTCATCCTTTGCAGGGGCATTCAAATACTAATAAAGAATTTCTGTGACCTTTGACTCACAGTGTAAGTAACTGCCAAACATGGACAAAAGTCAAATGCAGAAAGGAAAGTGGTGCAAAATGTCCCTTGTTCCAACACTGTCCATGATCAAGCAAACCTCACTCAGCTGCCCCAGCAGGCTAAAGAAAACGTGCTCTGGTCATGGGATTGGTGCATCATATCCAATATGAAAACCTGTCAGTGTCCAGCAGAGGTCATTCCAGCCCCATGGCACTGAATTGTTTCTAAAGAGCTGAACGGCCCATCGCACATCAGCCAGCCCCGCCCTGCCTCTGGATTACACCGACTCACTAGTCAACTTAAAAATCAAAGAACTGGACAGTGCTTTGAAAGCCACGACCCATCAGTGAAGACGAGTTTGCTCTCAGGCTGATTCCACAGCCAGTGTGTGTGTGTGTGTGTGTGTGTGTGGGGGGGGGGGGTTTTCTGTTGCTGCTGGAGGTGACAAACAGACGGCTCTCAGCATCCATCACACAACTGCTGTGCACAGTGCTCCCCGGGCAAATATTTGACAGTAAAGATAGCTTCTTCTTGTGAAAGCGCCCTTATCAATATCTCATAGCATTTCACTGCCGGCGGCCTTTTAAAGACAAATGGGGGACTTCGATGATAAATCACTCAACTCAAGTTAGAAATGATCCATTTCACCCAGAAAACAACATCCGCTCAGTCAGGATTTTAAATTTACTGCACTGTGATGTTTCAGAGGAGATAAGAGTACATCACCAAAGCATCAGAGTACATTACATGAGCTGAGGGTGGATCATGTGACCAAAGCTCCTCTGTCATTTTTAGCATATCGTCAGCATCAACTTCAAGCTCAGATCCATTTAATAAATAAGTGATGCTATGAAAGAAACTGCAACTTACTAATGTCCTTAAGCATAAATCTACCTGCATGTTTAGAGGAACCCTCTCCCGCATCGGGTAAACAAGGCCTACAGAAACCACCAGGCCCAAAGATCCTTTAGTTCAGTGTGTCCCCACAAATCGGAATAAAAAAAAAACATCTGAATACTTTAAAACCAGCCACAAAGTTGCATATAAAAACACCTGAACTGACAATTTTTACACACGGCTGCTCTTCATTGGAGAGAAACAAACATGAAAGAGGGCATGTCTAAATAGATTCTGTTGGAAAATAACTGGACAGGTTGGTGGACAGCAGGCAGTCAGAAGTAGTGCCGTACCATTTCAGATCCTCATCAGCAGACATGGACAGTAAACAAAATGACGACAATGCAGGAGAGCTGGGTATGTTTTACATTTTTATTTCAGCTTTCATTACAAACAGCCCACAGGAAACAGGAACACCTGCAAAGAGGACCAGAACTGAGTCAGTGTGGAGACCTAAAAACACGACTCACAAAAACCCAGATCCGCTGCAGCGGGCTGTACCTGGTTATGCTTTCTCTGCTGCTGCTGCCTCCTCATCTCCACCCTTGGTGTTACGTGTGTAAATCAGCTGTGCTCTGTGTTTGGACACCAGTTTGATCATGCCTGCGATGGAAGGACAGGACAAAGTCAGCACAATCAAACAATGCAGCCGTTTTTCTGTCAGATCCAGAACAGAGCAACTGTCCAAAAACATAGAAAAAGCACAAATACTGGTTTAACTTCAGAAATTACTAACGTCCCAACTCAATTCAACATTTGGTCTGATTTAGAATACAAGCTGAGATCATTCATGTTCAGACAACCTTGAGGATAATGAATTAACACGAGCCGTCACATTACTGAATTTACAGGCATAATGGCACCAAAAAACATTCAGTGACATGAGAGATCGTGTTTTATTTATTTAGTATCAAAGTCTATAGGGCTGCTTCCTTCCAAACATTTTGGAATTAAAATATTATAAAAGGCAGAGACTAAGTGATCTCAAAGGAAACAAACTGCAGAGTAGAGATGATGTCAGCGTCACTACTGGAACCCAACGGAACGCTGCAGGCGTTTTTCAGGCTCGATCCATTCAGATGCAACATCTACACTACGAGGCAGAGGCTGCAGACATTACTGCTGCTTTATTCACAGCCATCTCTGAGAGCTGGGAGTATTCTATGCTCTCCTTTACAGCTTGGATTTTTTATCCACTTTCAAGCAGACCGACTACTGGGAACAGTGTTCACTGAAAGCAGACCTCACCTTCCCTGCTTTCCGAAATAACTACCAGCAGGGAATGAACCTTTAACGCTAAACTGTATAAGATTTGCATAATGCGTAAAGCTTAAGATGTGCTCTTCACCTTTGGCGAGCAGTTCCTGGAGGGCGTTCCTGGCCAGGGAGCCGCGGATCTTCAGCCTCTCAGACACAACAGCGGGCGTGATGAGCTTGTAGTTGGGAACTTCTTTGTACAACTTGTCGTAGGTGGCCTTGTCGAAGAGGACCAGGTTGTTGAGCTTATCCCTCACTTTTCCCTTAGACCACTTCTGCTCAGAATCAAACAAACAGGCTTTGAGACAAAATCCCACAAATGCTCGGGGTAAGGAAAAAAAAAAAAAAGAGACAAACTGCTACACACCTTCTTCTTGGCTTTGCCTCCAGACTTGTTGACTGGGTCCTTGTCCTTTTTGGACTTCCCACTGTCCTTCTTCTTGTCCTGCTTGGGAGGCTGGAAACAGGAGACAAAAAACAATGTTTGACTTTGAACAGCAAAATCCAGAATTTGACAAGTACATTTATTTTAACTGTAGGATCATCTGGTTAAATTACAAGATTGTGATCACCAAATGTAGGGTCTCTTCTACATACAAAATCCCTATAGATCACTTCTGATGGAAAACTACAACTTTAGTGGAATCTTATAATTCCATATCATCTGCAAAGAATAAGAATTGTACGATTCTGTTATCCTAAACCACAGATGACAATATATACATAATACACAATATATTTAAATGGATGTGCATTTATCAGTAAAGCAGGGCCTCAATTAAGGAAGAAATATTCAACAGAAAAAGTATAGGTAACACATTGTAAGATAAAACCGGAATTTATCTGGTGTCACACCGGCATGGGACGACCTCATCCTTTTCTCATCTCGAAATAATCATTCCTCATTTCCATCACCATAACCATGAGCGGAATGTGTTGTCCTGTTTAACGGTGTTATTTGTTGCATTAGTTGGTTTAGACAGATTTCGTGTGCAATTGCTGATGACTACTTTGCTGCGGCTTCGTCTAATAGAGTGAAGCTGAAAGCATGGTAGAATTAGCCTACTAGCTATTGAGCTAGATGCTAACTGCGCCCAATATAATTAACTGCTTTTGACGTTATCTAATCCGGTTAGAAAACCCGTATCCCTTCAATACGGCGTTCGGGTGGATTGTCACAAATTACAAGCCAAGATGGAACGAGAACGTTGTTCTAGGACAAACAAAACATAGAATAACTGTTCTCACCATGTTTCCTCGTCAAGATGTCGGAGTGAAAGGAAGTTCACCCGTGCAAGAGCCCCTTAGACAACCTGTACATGCGGAAATGATACAGGGAATTATGGGAGGTAGAGTTCTCTTCTCTTTTGCATGCTGCCTTGATTTTTAGTGAATGATATGGATAAAAAAACACTACATGTACTTTTATGAAAAATATTAATCCAAATGACAATTTTTTTAAACTTTTAGTCAAACGGATAAAGGGCGTATGGGTCCTCTTACGTATTGGGGTCACGTGACCACTTTGCCAGCTGGGAAGTACGCCGCAAAGATGGTGATATTCAGTGTGTATGTGGTGAATAAAGCTGGAGGTTTAATTTACCAGTATGACAACTATGTCCCCAGGAGTGAGGTCGAGAAGACCTTCAGCTATCCTTTAGACCTGGTGCTAAAACATCATGACGAAAAAGTGATCGTTTCGTTTGGGCAGAGGGACGGAATTAAAGGTAACATTTCAGAGCACGTCGCTAGCTAGCTACTCCTAACTCCGTGTTGCCCTGTGCTGTCTGGTCATCTTATAACTATAGAGCTGTCTGTCCTTAAGTTATATACGCCGTGTTTGCATTTAGCACGTCTGCTGTAATATGAGGTACTTTCTGTTAGCTGATACAGTTTATCTGCCCCCCCTCTGTGCCTTTGTGAAACGGCTCTGAAGCGCCTGTCTTGTTGTTGTCTTAGTGGGACACGCAGTACTGTCCATCAACGGAGCCGATGTGATGGGAAAGAGCACAGCCGACGGAAAGGACATCCTTGAGTATTTAAAAGACTCCTCAAATTACCCGGTGTCTATTCGTTTTGGACGTGCCCGCCTGAGTTCCAACGAGAAGCTGATGCTGGCGTCCATGTTCCACTCGTAAGTCTGCATTCGTGTTTTGAGTGACCACATAATACCCAATAACTTTCTCAAGGGATGAGTACATTCCCGCACTTTTAAGTGCATATGAACTGCAGCAGAGTTTGCATCTGATAATGAATGTATTTTCCCCCCTGCAAGCTTATTTGCCATCGGTTCTCAGCTGTCTCCTGAAGTTGGCAGTTCAGGGATTGAGATGCTGGAAACGGATGTCTTCAAACTCCACTGCTTTCAGACTCTCACAGGTCAGTAGTGCTGGTTAGCAATGTAACATTGTGTGGGGTTTCAATGTTGTTTGTGATCTTTGCTATAGCCCATAAAATGATCTCTTTGTCTGTAACCTAACTCTAAAACACATCTTAGTGCTTGCTGATCATTTCACGCTGACTATTCTCAGCTGGGTTGTTGTTTCGTTTCTGTTCCACCTCTCTCAGGGATAAAGTTCATTGTGCTGGCAGACCCTAGGCAGTCCGGCATCGATGCTCTGCTGAGGAAGATTTACGAGATCTACTCAGATTTTGCTCTCAAGAACCCTTTCTATTCTCTGGAAATGCCCATCAGGTAAAGGAATGGCCTTGTTGCCTTTTGCTCTGTTTTTTTTAACTCAAGTAGCTGATTTGGAATGTTCTGGCCACCCACATCGGGTGCTAATGCTCTTTGAATTTCAGATGTGAGCTGTTTGACCAGAATCTGAAGAGTGCCCTGGAGGTTGCAGAGAAAGCTGGCAACTTTGGAGCTGGCTCTTAAAGCAGATTACGTTTACACCGTGGAAATAAGTCCTTTTTTAAAATATGCATTGTAAATACATCATGTTTTGTAAATACTTCACAGGTTAAACCCTAAGGTGGCTGTAAAAGTTTTGTCTCATTTCTGTTTTTGTCTGAGTGCGTGTTGGATGTGTACTACTGAACATGGATCTGAAAATATGAAAATGTTTGTTTATTCACTTCTGACTGTCTCAGTATGGAGTCAACACATCTTCAAAAATGGTTCTGTTGCACTTCTATTTCAACATTATTCATGACTACATTAAAACAAACATTTATAATGTAGCATTAACATCTGAACTGGACTTTGCTTCCATGTCTGACAATTAATTGTTTAAAACGCTTAATGTGACAAAATGTCCACTCCTTTTCTGATATGTTAACAGACTGTAAAAAAAAAAAAAAGTAAAAACAGGCTCTTTCCTCTTGGGAAAAAAACAAAACGTGTAATTTATGTTGATGCCAGGTCACCGTGACACTGGAAATATTGCAGCATATAAAAAAAGATGTAAGAAAATGTGAAAATTCAATGACTTCGTTTAGCGTTCCTTTTCCCTCTGGGTGCAGAGGTTCAGGTGTAATGATGTTATTCTTCCTTCTTTGACACGTGTCCCATCTTGGTTCGAATATTGCGTAACAAGAAGAATCCAATGGTGGTGACCAAACAGGTGACCTCTGCAACCCAGAAGGCCGTTTCCCAGCCATGGTGTTTGGCAATAGTGCTGAATGGTAATCCAGAGAGGAAGCCCCCAACTGTGGGAAACACACGAGAATATAAAAACTCCACATCTTATTTCAGGTTGAATTCTAGCAAAAGAACTTGCTAAATAAATGAAAACTAATAAACTTACTGTTGGCCATCAGGGCAACTATGGCATGTGATGTCCCACAGTAGTTGGATGGGGCGCTCTCATTGGCTATTACGCCAAACAATGCGATCGGTCCATAGGAGGAGAAGCCAAAAACGGCCCCCAGGCTAAGTATCCATATCTAAATGGAAAGACGAGGGATGACCGGTATGCTTCGGAGTAAAATGACTTCATTTATTCACGTCTGTTCTGAAGTGGGTGTTACCTTCGGGCTGTCGGGAGTTACCGTGACCCTGAACAGGTACATGGACACAAACATTCCAGCCATCATCCAGATCAGGATGAAATGGCGGGGGTTGCCATAGACTTTCATCCCTTGCTATGAGGGTAAGGACACAGATCATAGTTTAGCTGACAAAAGGAAAGATTCTGTACATTGGGTGAATTATAACTGTGTTTTAAAGTCCCGCTCCAGTAGCAATGGATCCAGTAAAAAGTCAGTTCTGTTCTGCAGAATTATGTACTTTAAGTTTTTTTTCATGAAAATCACTAATACCATTAAAATGGCTACAGATCTGACAGTAAACTTTTTTGGTGATTCAGTAAATCAGGATTCAAAACAATACTAATATGAATATGCCCCTATCCCCACCCCAGTAAATTGCATTTTAATAAATAGCTCAAGCTGATTTTCAACCAGCATTTCATTAAACTATAGCTTAATCTCTGAAATGAAAGACAAATCACTGAGAGGGCTGGAACTGGATCATCCTACATGCTTCTCTATTCAGTGTGTATATTTTATGTTTGTTTGTTTTTTCAAATTTTAAGGGAAGCAGCACAAGCTTGTCTACTGGATCAGATCACTCTTGTATCTATCATGGCCGTGGCTTTATTATAAATGTTCTCTCACGTCCTCTCAGAAAATTTAAAAACAGCCCACCCAACAAGCTGCTGCGACTGGTTCCTGCAACATTTTACGTGGGACATCTGGGTTGATTAAAAAATGGAAACCCTGATCACAGCACTGGTGGATGATTTCTCCTATGATGTTTCTTAACTAAACCATTACTGTTGCATTAAACAACCACAAGATGGCCACAAGGTGGGTTGAGAACTAATGTCAAAAGGCTCTGAGAGATATAACAATTTGCAAAGGGGTCAATGAAGTCAGATTTACTCAAGAAGTAAACATACACTCTGTCTTGCTGATCATTAATGAGTGCTTGCAGTTGTTGGAAAAATTGAAAGTAACTAATTTCTTTGGTTGTATCATTGCAAGGCATTTGTATACATTCTGGCTGTTTTTTGGTCAAGAGTTCAAACTCATCAGACACAGCCTGAAAAGCATTAAAAAAAACTTTCTTTGCGACTTGCTTTCTTTCTGTGCAAAAAAATACTCCTGTTCTACAGAATTCACTCAACAGGGGTAAACTCACCCTGGCCACAGCCTTGTCAGAGAGGTAGCCTGCTGCGAGACTGCCCAGCAGGCCTCCCACCTCCAGGGCGCTCATGTATGAGCTACCTACGGAGAGGAACGCGGTCACTCACAAGGAGACAGAGGCTGGACGCTTTAGTTCTCCCTGCGTATCTTCTCCGTCCCCCCCGCGCGTACCCATGAGCGTGGACTGGCCCTTGTCCTGAATGAGGAACAGCTGGCCCCAGTCCGTGCAGGCCGTCTTCACCCCGAACACCACCAGGTAGGACACAGACAGCAGCCACAGGTACGGCGACAGCAGGAACTCCGACAGGGTGCTCTCATTGCTGGAGGACCCTGAACAGGAAAGAGAAAGATGACCTCTCCTTTTTTCTACGAACGCCCCTGTGAGTTGTGGGGTTGTCTGGTCAGACTGGTGCCTTTAACATGTGTTCCCCTCACAAGCTGTTGCCTCTTTCAGCCTTTTGTTTATGAGCAGGACACGACTATAAACACCAGTAGCATGTTAGGGGCACGCTGGGTACAGAGTCCAGCCGGGCCAGTGACCTTTAGTCCCAACACTTGAGGCTCACGCTGCATGACAGCGCGCACATCTCACAGATTATTTGTTATCTTGGAAATGTCTGCGCTGAAACAGAAAAAAAGCAGGAGCTCCAAACCTGCGCCGGCAGCTGATCTCACCTCCTTTGCCCTTTTTGCTGGACGCCTCTACGTTGGGCAGCCCCACGTCTCTGGGCTCGTTCTTGATCACCAGCAGGCACAGAAAGGAGACGGCCAAGCAGACCGTTCCGGAGACGGACAGGATGGCCCTCCAGCTGTGGCTCTGGGCCAGCACCGTGGCAATAATGGGGCCCAGGCTGCCGGCCAGATTCATGCTGCAGGAGAGAACGGCCCACCAGGTCCCGAACTGGGACGGCTCGAACCACTGGTAGCAGAGAGGACGGTGCAGACATGTTAAAAGCATGACTGTGCTGACAGGAAAGCTTCAATATGTGATTGCTGAATGCAGATGTAATCACAACTTAGAGCAAATCACTCAAGGACTCCCATCCTGCATGTTCTAACATCCCTCTCACTGTTTACCCTAATATTGTGAAAATACGCACATTTAATTTGGACTAACTTGCATCCTATGATTTATTTTGAGCATTTCATTTGTTGGAATGTTTTTGTACTTTTGTCATTACATTTACTTAATAGCTTTATTTTATGCCTATGTTAGATATTTACTTAAACTAAACAAAATAAAACAATGAATTCATTCCGCATTTTGTTCAAACTAACTTAATACCTTCCATTAGAAAACACACTGTTATCACAGCTTTTGCACAAACTTTATAATGTAATAAGGAAGGCGTTCATACCTATAACCCGTATATTTTCTTAGCTGAACCTCATGATGACTTTTTCCTACCCTGAATAAAACCTTTATAAACTGTAAACTTCTCTAGTAACCATGATTTGATCAATTATAGGTTACTCTCCTATAGCCTATTTAAAAAATTTGACTTCAAACGTGTCTATCCTGTATATTCCCAGGCTTAAAGCTTTGTATTGCTCCTGATGTTTTACAACAGGGAGGAGAGAAAGAAAAACAGGGACTTTCCCCTGATCCAGAGAAAGATCAAATACCTTCCGCAGCACCCTGCCACAGGGAGGCCAGCCCAGGCCTTGGCCCAGGCCGTTGAGAAACCACAGGCCAGAGAAGACAGCGACAGTGGAGGACCAAGAGAAGACCACATTGATGCCTCCCACCATGAACAGGCCAATGGAGAAGAGCCAGCGGGCACTGATCTGGTCAGACAGCACGCCGCTGATGAACTTACTGATAGCGTAGGCCAAAGACTGACTGCTGGTGATCATTCCTGCACAGGGAAAACATCAAAAGACTTTATGCACAGCAAAATAAACTTGTGGTACAACATATTGCTCCTATATATCTCTGACAACTCTTTTACAGAAGTTAGTCATGTTTAAGCCGTTAATTGGAAATAGAATAAAACCAGTCTATGAATAACGGGTGCAGAAAGTGTGTCATACCCAGGTCATCCTTGTCCAGCTTGATTTCTTGCATCAGAGAGGGCATCACAAAGGAGAAAGTCTTTCTATTAAAGTAATACAGCGTGTAGCCCACAAACATGGCCAGAAATATGGTGCTTCTGTAGTATCCATAGCCTGCCGATGCCATGACTGCAGCTGTAGTCCTTCCAGACACGCAGAGAAACCCAGTGAGAGCAGCAAGCTTCTGCCTTTTGACAGCCCTGCACTGCCTGTGACAATGAACTTTGCTTCAGGATCCACGGTGCAGAAGCAGCTGCTAAAAAGCGAGGTGTTTGCAATCAGTATGTGGGGTTAATGGTCAACTCCTCTACCCTGAAGCCTATTGAATCCAGGTTGCAACACAGACGGAGGGAGAGGGGATGGAACCGAAAAACCGTCTGAGCCATGTCACCAAACACACTCTGTCATGTTTTTTAGGCAATAGTCCCTTGTGACCATGCTCTTGTCCTCTGATGCTGTTTGTACATCTGAGGATGTTATTGAAGTGGTCCTGAACTGATGGGCTTAATCATTTACCAGGGAGTTCAGCACTTATCACAAAGCAAGCCGAGGCTCACAGCCAAATGTAGGTTAAAGATAAAAAATCATCTAACAAAGGCGTGCAACATATTCAAAATTTATATGAAGTTAAAGCCAAATAAAATCGAAAAGTCTAATTTAAAAAAGTAGCACGTGTGTAAAAAATATGTTGGCCTTAAAATAACCAGTAAACAACCGCCTTCTATTTCAGGTTCTCGTGTGAGTGAATTTATTCGCCTAAACTTTCCTCCCTCCCTAAATAACTTTACCTCAGTCTGTAATGTAAAAGTTTGAAAATGGTACATATGTCTATGATAACAACCACCGACATGGAATGAAAAGTTTGAAGCTTCCGCGTCACGTGGGCAATCAGGCCACGCCTATCCGTCATATGTCAGGAATCACAGACCAAAAAAATAAAAAATAAAATCAACAGTAAAGAAAGCTTACGTTTCAGCAAAGTGATATAAACGTGAAACCTTTGTGATTATACTTCAAATAATAATTTTACACGGAATTCCATCATGGGGCCATTTATAGTAGTAGTCTATATGTCAAAAACTGTCTTCCAATTAAAATCCCTGCAAAATAAAAGAGGTTCGACCCATAAGACAGCAGGGTTGTCTTGTAATGTATCATATTTGTATGGCAACCCATTTCCGCCATAAATGAAAAAATAAGATAGGATTCCATATGTTTAAGCTAAAATGGCAAAATGTAGTAATTTGTTCAATTTTTATGGCTCACAGCTGGACTTTTTCTCGAATCCAGCAGGGGGCGTCTGAACCGTAAGAAAAATAAAATAACTTAAACTGTAAACCTGTTACCTTTCAATTTGTGGGATACATTAAAAGCATTTTTCCAATTAGTTCATAGTTCATAAATCGATTGATTTTGGTCTTCTTTAATCCACCACAATGTTATCCTGGTAAATTATGTATAGTAGGGATGAATTTTTGAAGGGAGGCTACTGCTGACTGGACATCACCACGGCGACCTGTCAGTCACTTCTTACGTAGCTGCACCGGTGTGTATATTTGAAATATTTGTAAACCTTTTTTAAATCTTATTCTCCATTCACGTTTGAGTTTAAAAGCTCAGTCGATTAAATCGTGTCTCAAAAGTATTTCAAACATTTTCGTAGGCCCGAAAATGTCCTGCACCGAGGCGACTGCCCATCATTCCCCGGTGAGTACGAAACTAATGCTAACAGCTGTTAGCATCTTTTCTTTTTTCCCCCCTTCCAAATATCACATTTAACAGTTGCGTGTCAGCTGATAAAGTCCCAGTTGTTGGATATGCGATTCTAGACTAAAATGAGCTATGTAGTGGGGGAAAATAAGGGTCCCCTGTTAGCAAACACCTGCTTTGTAACCACTGAGGTTGTTTCCATGACAACTGACAACAAACATCCCAATCTGGGTCAGTGGACTGAACAGTGAACGCATAGATATATTTTTGCTTTATTCTTTGCTGCCACTAACAGCTGACGAGGACAATGGTGAGTTCATCGTGTTTCTCGTGGGAAACGCATCACGCCAAAACCACGCGTGTTATTCCACCCTCATACAACCGTCCCTCTCTCCACAGAGAAGTGGCTCCAGCTCCATGTCTTCACGGTCCAGGTCTCAATACGGCAGGTACCGCGCGCTGGCCCCGAGATCTCGAGTGGACGAAACCCTGTTCGGGAGGCCCAAACCAGTGAGTGTTTCAGTCCACCAGCAGCAGTCAGACTTGTTTTCATTTGATGCCTGGCATTATTACATTTGCACGTGCAGGAAGGCAACAGTCCAAAGGTGAAAGACTCCCCGAAGGATGAAGGAGAAACCATTCAGATCATCACCAAAGACTTCATCCGTAATCTCCGGTAGGCCATTTTTTAAAAGGTTTGGTATCGTAGACATAGAGTGTGAATGTTATTGCAAAAAAAAAAGATGGTTATGATACAGCGGTAACACTGTACCGAAACACACATCTGACACCGATTTCTGCCAGGGTGCCCCGACGGGATCCTGCCAGAGAGTTCATCATCCTTCCCCCGGCTGAACTCGAGCGGATCACCTCAACCAAACAGTTTCTCTGCAAAGAAGACAGAGAGGCTCTGAAAAAGGCTTATGAGAGAGAGCAAGAGGAGAAGATGGTAGGAGACGTCACCCAGAATTGTTTTTTTTGTTTTTTTTTAGGTGGCCATTGCATCTTCTTATTTTTTCCTCCCCGTTCCTGGTTTAGAAAGCTGCCGATGAAAGGAAGAGTAAGATCCACGAAGCGGACCTGTCCCGTAAGAAGAACCAGGCCCTGACCGACTTGGAGATAGAGGCCCGGGACCGTGCGCAGAACCTGGTGGAGCGCGCCAACGCTTTGAGGATGGAGCAAGAGGACGAGATCAAAAAGCTTAACCAGGTGGGATTTAAACATAGAAGAAACGGTGACCTTCATAAGCCTGCGTGAAACTCAGTCATTCTGTGTCTCCGTGTGTCTCAGCTTATTCTAGGAGCTCAGTGTCAAGCAACCCGTGACGCCCAGATCCAGGAGAGGAAACAGATCCAGGCCGAGTTCGCCGAGGAGGAGAGGCGCCTGGACGTCATGATGGAGGTGGAGCGCCGCAAGGCTTTGGAGACCATTGACAAGATCGACGAGCTGCGCAAACGGGCGAGGATCAAGTAAAGAAAACGACACATTTACCCCACTGCCCGCTGTTTCAGACACTGACCATTTATCTAATCCATCAGATCCACTCATCACGCTGCTGATAACCAAGGTGAAGGAGCACCCCTAACACTCACGTCCGTTTTATTTCAGAGGAAAAGAGCAGATCACCGGCCAGATCCAGCAGCGCCTGGAGGAAAAGCAAATCCAGGATGAGATGAAAGAGCTCCAGAAACAACAGATCCGCGAGAACCAAGAGAAGATGGCCCTGGAAGATCTAAAGGTGCGGAGGAAAAGGGGAGGCAGAGCAGACATTCACGCATTAGGAGTCCATTTCCTCTCTGAGAGCCCGTTGTCTTCCAGGGTTTGGAGAGGAAGAAGATGGAGCAGCAGCTCATGCAGGAAGAAATCATGCGCATCAATGCCGAGACGATGCGGGCCAAGGAGAGGAGGCTGGAGGAGGAGAAGATGGCCGACCTGAGAGCCATGGAGTACATGACGAAAAAGCTGGTTAGATGACCGATTCCCGTTGAGAAGCCCCAGATTATCCTTTTTTTTAATGCTAACCTTTCATGAGCTCTGCAGGAGCGGGAGGCGGAATATGAGGCGGAGCAGAAGCGGATAAAGAAGGAGAAGGAGCTGGACATCGCCCGGCTCAGGGCGCAGCAAGAAAAGGCGAAGGACTACAAGGCGGAGCAGGTCGGTGACGGACGCTCGTCACCGCCATGTCGGAGGCCCCGTCGCTAACAATTCCCCTTGTGTTTTTGAAGGACGAGATCCGTGCTCGCAGGAACCAGGAAATAATCGAGAGACAGTGGAGGCTAAAGGAGAGACAGCAGGCGGCAAAGAGGGCGCGCGACGAGGAGATGCTGAGGGTGGCCCGCCTGGAGCAGGTGAAGGACAAAGAGCACGGCCGCTCCATGGAGGCGGGCCGGGAGAAGGCCACGTTTGAGAGGGTGCTGAGGTAAGACACGGGATGTTTTACTTTAAATTGCATTACAAAAAAAAGAAATCTTCCAACCTCTCTGCTCTTCTTTGCAGGGTTCAGCAAGAATCCATAACCAAGCAGGAGGAGGAAGAGGAGAAGCAGCGCCAGGGAGCCCAGCGCCACGCTCAGGCCATCCGCCAGCAGGTGAGGGAGCGCGAGCTGTCCGCCACCGCCAGGCAGAGGGAGACCTTCAAGGAGGCCGACCGGCTGATCGAGGAGGCCCGGCAGAGACGCCTGCGCCTCCACGAGATCAAAGAGAGGAAGCTCAAGGAACTCAAGTGAGCACAAGCTGAATGAGATCTGTCACAGCGTTTGATTTCCGGCTCTCTTTTAAAAACCGAGTGTTCTTTCTGTGCCTTACTTTTAAACGTGCAGGGCGACGGGGCTGTCTGATAAATACTGCTCAGAGGTGGAGAGGAAGGCCCGGACGACCATATCACAAGCGGACTAAAATACTGAGAGTGCGCCCGGCACGCTTCCTCTGTGGCTTTTATTAAACATCACGAGTGACAAATTACTGACACCTCAAATAAAGTGTAATTGAAAAAAATAAAAGATTCATTAGACATTAAAAAACAAACCAAAAAATAACTTTGTGGTCATTGATAAATATACAATTTACCAGCTGGTATTTTAGAGTGGAGTCTTTTTATAAATACATCACAAAGACAGACAGACTTTCTGACTGTTACCACATCACAGAGAGAGAGAGAGAGAGAAAAAGACAGTGAAAGGACACTGGAGACTATTTTTCATATTTATTTAGGCTATTTCCCTTTCACTTAAGTCATATTCTTCCACGTATCAATGACAGAACCCCCTTATCATTAATATGCATGACAACATAAAGGAATTCAACTCATGTTAGGGTTAGGATGACACTTTACACACACAGCTTAAAGCATGTAAGGAAGTTAAGTACATCAAGGTAAGTAACAGGCTCTTATTCCAACCGTTCCTGACGAAGAGCTGGATGAATAGAGACCTAATTTCTTCATCATAACCATCTAAACACACGACCTACAGGAGTGTTTTATGGATCTTTACCAAGCTGTCGTTAGAACACCAAAGCTTCCACCAGCCCGCCTTCCTCTGCCTCGTTTGCTGCTGCCGCCGAGCGTGAACAAAGGAGGGAACGGGACGGGGGAAGTGGGTGGAGGACAGATGGGTGAGGGGTTTCCATCTGGAAGAGATCGGTTTGTCATGTTTCACATCTGTACACGAAGGGAAAAAAAAAAAAAAAAAAAGGGATTGGTGACCAAGAGAAAACACACCACAACACCTGGCATACACGGACCTCAGCACGAGGAAGGTTCAGAGTAAATACACACGCACGGTACGGTTAGAGGGGGCCCCCGGGCTTTGGTGGCCGTGGTCCAGTCCCTGCACACACACACAAACACACGTACACACACACAGTCTCACACAAGCACTGTACACGGCACAAAAGGTCACCTGGAGACGTGGAGCCAGTGAAGAAGAGCTAACATCTAGGGCGGAGTGGACAGCCCCACACAGGCTGGAGGGAGGGTTAAAATTCTTATTCAGACCTTCAGGTCATTCATTTACACACACAAACACACCCTCAGTCACACAGTGACATACATCCGTATGCATTTAAAACTCCATAAAGCTACACGCTTGTGCAGAATATACTATCATTACTTAGTGTTGCTAGCTAGAGCCACTGAAATGGCAATATATGTTCATATTTTAGGTAACTTTTTTCCCCCCCCTTGGAATATACAACAATGAGATGCAATTTTACAGACAAACCAGACGATGGAAGCCGTTCACGTGTTCAGTACATCAAAAGTATGAGCTTCTCTACATTAATTTCTTCACGAGTGCAAAATCCGATGCTCCTCCACCTACTTCAAAGGTTGGTTGCTGAGCTTTAAGCAAGTCCACTTTTGCACAAACCAATAATAAAAAAAAGCCAAAACATTAACATAAACACAACAACGGATCTAAAGAAGTAGTCATAAATATGGAATGTGAAAACAAAAACAAAAACATGGTCCGATATCGTTCAAACATTTCAAATAAAAGTCCTTCATAAAGTGTTTCTTCTCGGACAAAAGGACAACATCATAAAAATAAAAAAGAAACACAGAACCAGTGGGCTGTTTGCTTGCTTGTGGCCCCTGTTGTGAGTAGAAGACCATGGGAAGCCGGCGAGGAACACAAAGAGAGGACGAATGGGTGGGAGGAGGGAGCCGCGGGGCGGGCTGGCGCTCACATGCCGTAGCCAAAGCTGGCCTGTGGCGGCGGGGCGTAGCCCGCCGGCGCCGCCGTGTAGCCGTAGCCGTACGCCTGCTGGGGGGGCACGGCCACGTTGGGGCCTGCTGTGAGCATCAGCTGGGGGGTGCCTGCAACAGGAAAACCCCTCCGGTCACCACAGCACCACGGTAGCCCTTTGTAAACGGGTTTAAAACAGCCCAGAGAAGAAGAGCGCGGATACGAGCCGCTTCCTCACCGTAAACTATGGGTTGCGACTCCGTGGCCTGCTCCTCCTGTTTCCTCAGAGAATCCGAGGCCTCGAGTTTGTCGACCTGCGGAGAACACAGCGCCCAGCGAGTCAGAGTCGGCCGGGCCTGCCCTTTGGGGGCTCTGCGCGAGCGAGGGTTTGTAAAAAAAACAAAAACAAAACAAAACAAAAAACTGACCTCGGGGTTATTTCACTGGCTGACGGATGGGACCATTCCTGACAGGCGTAGACGAATACAGTCCAGATTTAAATTTTTTAAAAAGAAACCAAAAAAACAAAACAAAAAAAGGCCGCAAAAAAAAGGCCTTTGCTAAAGTGATGGCGCCCCTCCGTAAGGCAAGAGGACTTCACTACAGGGATGGAGCTACTGGGTACGCTATGGAGCCTGGCTACAGCGGGCCGAGAGAGGAGGCCGCTCGTTTGTGGAGATATTAGGGGTTTAAGAGGGGTGAAAAAGAGCCAGCTACTGGGTAACAATGGTCCCACCATCCAGCCACTCGACAGTACTACGCTAACATGAGTATGTAGAGAACCGACTCCCCAGCGGTCGAACATTCACGTTTTCCCTTTTGTGTGGAGGGGAATTCCGCACATCTGGGCGGCAGTTTCAGGTGTCCAATGGCATTATGCAGCCTTATTTTATCTCAGAAGCCCAGGGAATGGCGTTGGTGCTCTAAGGCAGGCAGAGCCGGGCAGAGGGCGAAAGATCGAGAGCCGGAGCAAGCAGAGGATCAGGCAGCCAGAAAAACAAAACCAAACAAAACCAAACAAAAAGGAGAGCTTCAGATTTTCCTGATCAGGCTCAGAATGACAGGAGGGAAATGTCGGCGCTTCTGGGCTCGGTTCTCTACATACAGTCTAGGGCACTACTGGAGAACAATCCGGTTAAGCAGGCCGTATCGAGGGAGGACGGGCTGTCGGGCCCTCAGAGAAGAGAAAGGTTGAGAGACATGCTGAAGCAGCAGTTTAGGTGTTTTTTTTTTGTCTAGACGAGTGCACGAGAAGAAAGAAAAGAAGAACGAAAGGAAGAGAGAGAGCTGGAGTGGAGGGAGTGTGAATGATGCTTCCCCCCACGCCCCCACACAGCCAGTTTGGGGTTTCCAGAAGCAGGCACAGCCAACAGCGAGGAGGGAAGGGGGGGGGGGGGGGGCGGCATGCCAGACTGTTCTTTTTTTTTCCCCAAAATATTGTTTGTCGGGACTTGCTCACATTTTTTGACAAATCGGACAGACTGTCAAAACAGCCGTTCGTCTCTCGGTCTGAGATCAATTAGAACCGAGGGCCTCTCCTTTAAAAAGAAGCCTCAGATCAGCTCTGCTGCCGAGCTGCGGGCTAACGAACGGGCGGCGCTGCTCACTGATGTCAGGGGAGGGGAAATAAGCCGCGTTTGGATCGTGGGGAGAGACAGACTGCAGCTGAGTGATGTTAAGGTCTCAGTTCTCTGTTACGGCGTTTTGCCATCGGTGCCTACTCAGCCCTACACGGCCTGGCCTGGCCTGGCTCTACACCGATTAGGTGGTTCTCCATGTTTCTCCACGGGCCGACGTCATTCATGTGCGACAAAACACAAGATGACAACCAAAGACATCGCGGCTACTGTAGACCGACGAAAGCTTTTACACAGTCCGTGCTCCCAGGAGTAATGACATAACTTCTTTGTTGTTGGCCGTTTTCCTTTTTTTAAACAGGCGGGGTTTACCTGACGGAGTGGCTATCTCCATAGGTGCTACAGTTGGAACTGTGCAGTGGGGCCAGCCCCTGGTGGAGCACTAATGGAAACATCACCGCCTCAGCTCAGGAAAGCTGACGGGCTTGCTGGCTACACCATCAGCATGTTTGGGGGCAAAAAGCCCACAGAACTGATGGTTAAGCTGGCTCTCTAACAGGAGCTGCAGGGGGCAGCTTAGCAGAAAATGAGGTTACAACCCTCCCACTTTCTGTTTTTCCCTCAAAGCTGCAAGAGATAAAAAGAAACGGTCAACGCAACACTTTCAGCTAAGTCCCTCCAGAAAATGTCCATCATCAACGTGAAATACAACCTAGTACAGAGGTCTGGATGGTGTGCAAAGCCTCTGATATTCAATCGCACACACTTTAAAGACACTTTAACGTTCAAACCCATAAACTACATCTCTTTTATTATTTTAAAACCACTCTTGTTTTATTAGTTGCAAGCACCCTGACCCAACTAAGTTAGAGGAAACACCATTTGGAAAACAGTTAATCACTAAGTCTACAAATGAAAACTCGACTGGAGCTCTCAGAAAGGCTGGATAGTTTGGGGGAGGGAAAATAACTCATCTGAAACACCCAGTGGAACAGTCTGCATCTTTTAGAGGACCATCCACAGTGGAAAAGCAGGATTTGAACGGTATATCCAACGTTCAGGACAACTGGTCATCTCCAGCGGACCAGCTGTGTGGCCTCCCGTCCAGCAGAGGGCAGCCCAAAGTTCCGTTACCAGCCTGAGAAGCAGGCACAGCTCATGGCTCCCGGCCATGGCTTTTCAGGGGTGTGCCTGCTTGTTTCAGCAGGGTAACAGACACCGCCTCCACGTTATCAAAGGAGTGCGGGTAATAAAGAGCGCCCGCCTGCAGTCCTGAGCCGTCTCCCGTTGACAAACGGGCTTATTAAGGAACGCAAGACAGTCGAGTCAGCTTCAGCTATCAGTGTTGTTAAAAGTGTTATGCAGGGGTAAGCGCACCTCTGTCCCAGCTTTTTAGGAACATGTAGCAGATGTTAAATCCAAAACCAGTCATTATTTAAAAAAAAACAATGAGGGTTGATCGTTTTGAACATGAAATGGTCACTTGTTAACAAGCAAGTCACTACATTAGGTTTTGTGAAACGAGGCTTGCGTTAATGCAAATGCACTAAAGACACGCACTGTTTTGGAATGGACAGAGATCTAACACCTATGTTGTCCATTAGCTAAGTAACAAACGTGGTGATGTGTACTCACTGGAACAGTGAGGCTTTTAGTGCAATTTGTCGGCACATGGCGCCTCAGTCAGTATATTTTTGAGACCTCTCGCGACAAAACTAGCTCAAAATGTTCTCTTCTAATAATAAAGACCAGCACACCAAGCAGAGCCTTAAGGGATTGGGGTGAAGAGCCCCGCTCTGGAGTGTTGGGGGCAGTGGGGCTGGGGGTGGCTCTCGAGGTCAGAAGCAGCAGAGTGAAATGAGAAAGAGAGGCAGAGAAGAGGAGAGAGAATGAGAGGGCATGCATGTTTCTGCTAATTTTACATCTGCCCACTACAGCCTAGAGGACATCGGGGAGAGGATGTGGGGGTTCAAATGAAGGATTAGAAAATGGAGTGGACTTTCACCTTTTCCTTTATCGCATCAACCTGGAAAGGAAATTCAGAGAAAGCAACTTAAGGAGGAAAAAAAAACTCCCCACAACAGAAAATGACAGAGAGAAGAAAAGCAAACTTGTCACTTCAAGCAGAAACCCCCTAAAAACCCCCTCGGAGTGATGCAGGCAGTAAAGGCCACTTTTGATACAAACACTGACATGAGCTGTAAGTGATGCACACTCTTACTTTGTGTCTTACACAAAGCTGAAAAACACCAGTGCTGACTGAGAGGGGGGGGACGCAGCAAAGCGGCATGGTGCCGACGCGTTCACAGGTCCTGGTTTAGGCCTGCTGTTAACGGCCTGTGTCGAACTGGATAGGCCTGGGAGTTGTTTTTTTGGGTAGTTTGGGAGTTTTTTTTTTTTTCCTTTGCCGGCGATGGCAGTAACACAGAAAAAGGCCAAGATGAGCAGCACAGCAGCTGTCAATCTCCTCCCACACATTTGTGTGGAAAAGTAACTCATATGGACGGAATCCCAAATGAAAAGGAAACGCCAGCGAGGACAGAGGTGTGGAGAGAGGGGGGGGCGTGACAGAGGAGAGAAATGGCAACACTGGGAGGGTCTTTGACAAGGTCGGGGAAACTTTCTTGTCAAACGGTAAAACACCCGTTGGCTCTCAGCTTTAAAGCTCCTGCACTCTTAGGGTGGACGGGACGAGTTAGCAAAAACCACCTGACGGGTCCGAGCGAAGACGCCTAACGTTTGCATGGCGCGTCGCCGGTCACTTCTGACCAACCCACCTTTGAGAGATACTCCCTCATGACCTGGATGAAGTATGGCATGGAGAAGTCCATGATGTTGTGTCGCCAGGCGGTTTCCAGCACCACATCTGGCCGCAGCAGGTCGTAGCAGGTGAACAGGCAGGCGGCGAAACACTCCTTCTTGTCCTCCTGGAGGAACCAAGCCAGGAGCTCCTCGGCCAGCTCGATGTCTTTGGACTCCGACGCGTACTGCATGGCGTCCTGTGGCAGGAGAAAAGACGTGGGTTTCAGCTCATTTCTTCTGGGTGAGGCCAGACTGGGATACGTCCCCCCCTCCCCCCACTGCAACGGCACCTTATAGAGCTTGTCCTTCTTGCAGAGCTCCACACTCTGCTTCCAGCGGTTGTTGCCTTTGAAGAGGTAGGCCGCGATCCTCCGGAATTCAATCAGCTCGTGCTTCTCCAGGCCCTGAGCCAGCGAGATGTTGTCGAAGTTATCGTAGGCGTCGATGGACGTGCGCAGCGCCTGACAGCAGAGAGATGGGACGATTAGACACAGCTTTAGCCGACAGCCGGCACATTTCCAGCGCTGACGACAACCCTTCGTACCGCGTAGTCCTCCTCGATGATGAAGAGGTTGTTGAGAGCCTCGTTCACCGACTTGTTGTTGTGGTTCTGGACGGACCTAAGGTAGGGCTTCACCAGGGGCAGCTGTTTGACCTAGGCGATGACACACGAGACAGTTTTCTACCGTTACCCCCAAACTGAGCGCTTTCCTTTTCAAAAGGCATTTCTATTTCACTCTCGCTTTCAGAACCTTGCTGAAGAAGTTGACGGCCCGTGTGTGATCCAGCCTTGGAGAGAGGACGATGAGCAGGTCGTTCAGTAGCAACGGTTTGAACTCCAGATAAAACTGGACGGCCTTGTAGTAGAGCTCAACATTGGCCACCTACGGTGAGAAACAAATGCTCGACTTACAGTCCGCAAGTAAAAGAAGAAAAAGAAAAGGGCAGTTATCGTGCTTTGGAATGCTTTTTTCTTCGTTACTTTGGTGACAATGTCCTTGAACTGGCCCTCCTTCCAGGCGTCTGATGGATGGTTCATCATGGTGATGATGGCGTTGTCGTATTCCTCGTATTTGTCATAGAGGAACACCAGCTCCGCCCACAGGTGGGCCTGCTCAGCCGCCCTGAGAACCTGAGAGACCGAAGCATCAAATCATCAACTTTTACAGACTTTTGCTGACGGTGTTTATAACGGTTAAAAGAACTGGCTGCACAATTGATCAGGAATCAGATTCCCTACTCCTACCTTTGGAATGTTGACGCGGGACCAGAAGAGCTCCAGGTGTTCCCTCATCTTCTGGGGTTTGAATTTGGAGTACAGGATTGCCAGCTCTGTGAACATCCCCATGTGAGCGCGTTCCAGCCCAAGAGCCGCCTCAAGCATGGTGATCAGTTCTTCGAAATAGCCGCGATCCTGCGGGGTTACAGACACGCCCACTTTAAGACATCGCCAAAACCCTCCAGAGCCGAATGACCCGTACGACGCCCACGCCCACGCCACTGCCACCACCCACCTGGTAGTAGTTGATCAGTTCCTCCAGCTCGTCGGCATGGACGACGATGTGCAGACCGCACATCTGGGCGAGGCGGAACTCCTTCCCTTCCACGCAGGCAAAGCACACCTGGAAGAGCACAAAGTCGGTAACGCGTCTGTCCTCATGGGAACGGACCCCCCGTGGGCCGGGCGTCTGGGCTCCTCACCTCCTTCCAGGTGCGGGTGCTGTTGGCTTTGCGCGCCCCGTCCACGGCGGCCTGGTACTCTCCCAGGTGCACCAGGGTGGAGGCCAGGCGGCCAAAGTTGGACACGTTGTTGTAGAGCAGCTTGGCCGCCTCGTACATCTTGTCGTCATAGCAGCGGTCGCCCACCTGATGGGGAGAGGAGCGCACGGTGAAGGGGGGAACGCTTTGCCGCCCGCGGCGGGACAGAGGTCTCCATGTGAGCACCCACCTGCTGGATGTGAGCGTTGTTGGGCCCGTTGATGAACTCCTCCAGCTCGGCCAGGCGGTTGGTTTTGGCCAGGGCAAAGATCAGCTCTGTCTCCACGTACGACTCGCGGGCCTTCTTGCGGGCCATCTGCAGAAACTTCACCAGGTCCTCCCAGTTTCCTGCATGCAGCAACAAACGCGCATCAGTCTCACGCTTAAAGCCATCAGTGGTGCAACTCACCAAACCACAGCCGTTTCTTTTAGGGAATGGAGTAAAAGCAGCCCGTGTGAGGGGGGAGGATGGTCTCACCGCTTTGGGCTGCAGCCTGCCCCACCTCCATGTACGCGGAGGGGTCATCAGCCTTGATGTAGGAGTCAATAGCCTCTTTGACCAGGCCCTTCTGAAGCTGGGCCTTTGCCAGCTGACTCCACACTGGGGGCTCATTGCAGCGCTCGGCAAATTCGTAGGCTCTGTCCAGGTTGCCAATGTGCTCAATCAGAACCTGGAAGGCACAAAAAATAAAACAAACAAACATCAACACACGTTAGACCACTCTGGATGTTTAAGAAAAAAAATGGCTTAGAAAATACGCCGCACTCACCTGCACGGCAGAGGTGTTGACATCGAACTTCCTAAAAATGGCAAAAGCTTCCTCAAACAGCTCATTGCTGATGGCGATGTTTGCGATGTCTGGGGCGTCATAGTTGTCCAGACGGTTGATGTACTCCATAACGCGCGTGCGATCGGCTTTGATGGCTGTCAGAATGAGCAGATTCTGGAGGTTCCTGAAGAAAGAAAGACGGCGGGACTTCAGAAATTACTTCTCAATAAATATGCAGTGACTAGAATAAAACTCATGAGTGCACCGATGGAACTACAGAAAGGTGCGGTATGAAAAGCGGACTTTAATGAAACACATCTCTTGTTTAGAGGTCCCATGCAGCACCTGTGCTCACTGAAGACAGAATTGTCCAGCACAATCTTTTCCAGCAGCTCGATGAGCTCATTGGGAAGGTCGGCGGTCATGAAGGCCTTGACTGTGACGGACACCTCCTCTGGATCTTGGGTCTCTGACAGAGCTGTCTGAACAACCTGCAACAGAAGGGGGGGGGGAACACTGATGCACCACAGCTGAAGAAGCGCCAACGGCTAAATCTAAACCTGACTACAGCTTGGCTCCCGATGGGCTGTAACTCGGACCTGGTCGATGAGGGGCCTCCTGTAGTTGTTGGTCTCCAGCAGCACACTCGCCCACAGCTCCGGGTTCTTGCGACGCACGAGGTATCGAGACAGACTCTTGAACAGTGAGTTCTCGTTGCACACCTGCAGCACAATGCGGGGAGGACGTTACCGAAAGGAACGACAGCGGCTCTGAGCCAAACCCCGGCAGCCAGGGGGCGATCGGCTCCACTCAAAGCGACCTCCCGTTTGACTTACATGGATGAGTTCCTGGTCACACTGTCCTCTTTCGTAAGCCACGCAGGCCAGGTGGGGGTCTCTCTTCTCACAGTACTTGCCCACCACGCGGCTGTCATAGTAGGGGTTTTCCCTCAAGAAGCGCTCGGGGTTGTTGTTGCTGTCGATGTAGATCTTGGCCAAAGCGTTGTGGGTCGCGGGCTCCTCGCAACCTTCATGAATGCGGGCCTCCAGCCAGGGCAGCAGCAGCTTCAGTCTGAGCAGAGACAAGACAGGCAAACCTGCCGTCAGCCGCCTGAGCAACACAGCGGGCCCCCTCCTGACTCGGCTCCTTATTCTCACCGATTTCTTTTCTCCACCTCGGCGACAAGTTCGTCCGTGGAGAACTGTCCCCTCACAACCAGGATCAGGTTCTTAATAACGTCCTCAGCGCAGTCCACGTCCAACAGGCCTCCGATGACTACTGGCAGACGGCTGGGGTTCACCTGGAATAAAAAAGAAAAAAGGTGTCGATTGACTTGTGCGGCCCACGACGGCCAATGAGTCCTCCGAGGTCGGCGTCTTACCTTCTGCACGTAGATCTCGATGTATTTCTGCAGGCTGTTGCGGTAAAGGTACAGAACCAGGTCATGAACAAAATCGAAGCGGTCACACACGATGATTAAAGGCAGCTGGTCAGTAAGCTTGGCCTCCTGTTGGGGAAAAAATGATCAGAGATGTTACAGAGAGCTCCTACTAAACAGTTGGTTTGATTCTGTTTTTCTTAACAAAAAACAAAACAAAAAACACTGTCTTACTTTGAGGAAGTTCTTCACGCGCTCGGGATCATAGCAGTTGCTTTCTCTGCAGATCCGCTCCACCTCTTTGATCTGGCCCGTTTTGCAGGCTGCCTGGATATATTTAAAGTGGACTTCTGGATCCTGGCTGAAGTTCACAATGGAACCCAAGAAGTAGAAGAGACCTAATACACACACAATGACAATTCTAATCAGCAGGGAAACTAGTAGCAGTTACTTCTTACTGGTTTTATACTTGAGCTCTGGATAATGCAGCTCAATTGTCGCGTGCACCTGGTGGTTGTTTCTAAGACTTTGTACGAGGCCACCCGCGCAGCATGGCTGACTGAGCTGATGAAGACCAGTTCTGGCCTTTTACCGTGACACATCTGCAACTTACCTTCAAAGCTCTTAAATGACTCGAACAGTTCGGTCAGGGACTGAGTTGACAGCTGCTCGTGGTACTTGGAGGCCACCTGCACACAGATCTGCAGGTTCTGGCGGATGTTGGCTGACAGCATGGCCCTAAGACACTCCAGAGAGTCCTCTACCGAGAGGGAGCCGAAGAAGTTCACCAACCACTGTGGAGACAAAAGGACAGCATTCCGCCATGTGCCTCTGCTGCTGTGGGCGGAAATCAGATCGCCTTTCTGCTTGTTTTTCTTACCTCTGGATTGAGAAGGTGTGTGTGCACCACGGCACGTTTGATGTCGTACAAATCGGTGTAATGCTCCAGCGCCCTCTGCAGGAGGCCGGCCTTCTCGCACAGCTGTGCCACATGGGCGCGATCGTAGTGGGTGAACATCTGATTGCCCAGGATAGCATCAGCAACCTGTAAGACAGGACGCAGGGTAGCACCAACAGCTCAGCGGTACTGTAGCGGTATGAGTGTGTGTGTGTGTGTGTGTGTGTGTGTGTGTGTGAGTGTACCTGTGGTGCATGGACCAAATTCATTTCCAGCAAACGTGTCTGCAGCGGCCCCTCCATGGGTCTGTTGTTTTTCAGGGCGTCGAGAAGGAAGGACGTGCACTGCTGGATCAGGTTGTACTCCATGAAGACGTCTACAATCTGGGGGAACAGAAACACAAGTTGAATGTTTAATGGGGTCATTCACTGTTTTTAATGCTGGGGCTGTATACGAGGCAGAATTCCACTTTATGTTTCTGGGTTCTGCATTTCGGCGCGGGAAGGAGCGTGTGTACCTGTGTAATGTCAGCAAGTGGCTCTTCATCCTGAACCAGCATTTGGGAGAACTGGAGGCCCTGCTCTGGGCTGATGCGCATCACGTTCCTCAGCAGAAAGATCCAGTCTGGAGTGTAGCCCACCTGCAGGAGGGACACATCCCTATAGCTCAAACTCTCACTTTGTCACACTGGACAGAGAAACGTCACGCTGATTACAATTTTCTGCTCCAATCCAAATCATTACAAACCTTTTTGGCATAAAGGACAATCTTCTGGAACTGTCCTGTTTCTGCAAAGCACTGGATGACTTTATTGGGGACGTTGGCTCTGAGATAGACACTAAGGGCCAGAGTAGGATCGACGGACTTCACCAAGTCCCCAAGCTCCTCGGAACACTCCAGCTAAAAACACACAAACGTACAAAAGCTTTTGTCAAAAATAAAATATTTAGGAACCAGGCCCAGCACAGATGGCTTTAAAACTTTATAAACTAAATTAACATTTATACAAAGTTAAAATACGTTTCTGTTGGCAACATTTAGATGGAAGCATCATCCTTTTCTTCATGTTTAGATTTCATAAAAAGGATTTATTCAGGTTTTTAAAAAAACACAGCTCATGGCCCTCATAAAATACAAATAATGAGCATTGTGCCGCACTCCTTATCACAGTACCTTGTCTTCCTTGAGCCATTTCTCCAGGAGCTGTTTGCGGCCTTGCTGAAGAACAGGCCTACACAGTTCCAGGGACTCAAACTTATTGAGCTGGCCTTGGTCCAGCAGAATGCCAAAATACTGGAGCAGAGGGGACGTCTGGCCTGGTTGGGCCGGAACACTTTGGAACCTTCGGATTGTGTCTGGGGTCCGCAGAATACCCTTGAGTTGAGAGGCGGATGGGTAGGAGAATTAAATAGAAGCACTTTGAAACGTATGTGTGTACACACAAACATGAAGCACGCAGGCTAAACCTGGGCTCAAACACCCCCACGGTGTTGATCAAGCTAAGCTACAGCAATCTGCTTAGTCTGAACGGTCTGGGCGTGCTCAGACGTTTGCTGGCAGTACCTTGGGAGCATTGGCTGCCACCTTAGCAGCTTCCGAGTAATTCCCTGCCGCAAAGAGGGTGTTGAACTTGCGGGCGAAAAGCTCCTCGGCACCAGCAAGGTTGTTGCGCACAGCCATGCGCAGCGCCAGGTCTGGGTTCTGGAGCACGTTAGTGATGTAGGGAATAATATTCTCCTCCTCCACGCAGACTGACAGCACCTGGAAACGCACACAGTCACGCTCTCTTATCCATACGCACCAGTTTCCTGATGGATGGGATTAATTTTTTCAATGGATTCTGTTCATCAGTCCATAAACACTTGTGCAAATTAAGACATATGCTGAGGATCAGCTCCAACAAACAGCTTTACAAACCGAAACGGACCATCTTTCCTCTTCTTGTCGCTACTTTAGCTGGACTTAAAATGTCGAACAATGACCAGCATAAAATAAATAATTTTTACATGTACACTTATGAAAAGATCAACCACTTCCAAATCAATCATAATCCAAAATGTAGGGTAGCCATGATTTAATACTTAAAAGGGTGACACATTTAGGTTTTTTAAGGCTGACACGAACAGCCTGCTATGAAATGTCAGCCAGTGACAAAACAGATTTAAGTGACTTCCATCCTGAGATGGGAACATGTAACACTGCTAATCTGCACATGAAGACTGACTCATGTTTGTGTTGCAGAGAGCTGAAACAACACGCGGGGCTGTGTGCGGAGGGCCAGCAGGTAGGAGCCCAGAGAAATAACAGGATTAGATGGTGTAGTCTGCCCTGCCAAGCTTAGCCTCCCTGCTGGGGATGTCACATGCTGCCTACAGCGTGAGTTTTCCTTTTCTTTTTTTCCTTTCAGAGATTTCCTCCGTCAAGGTCGCATCCAAGGTCCCACACTGATACAGAGAGGGGCTGACTAACCACGAGAAAGTGAATGGCCAGTAAAATGTCGGTATGCGAGCATGTGAATTCTCCGAATTCTTGAGTGGGTCTGATACTGCTGAGTCTCAGGCTGACACTGATTTAGAAATAATCTGGTCTGCTGAGCAACCTGGTTAAATTATTTGAGTGTTCCAAATAAGGGGGCTGAGATCTTCACGCCAACAGCACAAGGCGACGCCGAAACAACAATTCACAGGTACAAATTATATTAACTGCCAGGCTGATAAGTGTCAGGCCCCGAAGAGCCTCCTTTCTCACAGAAAAAAAGGAAATAACTGAATTAAAGAGTTACATTTTGTGTTTTACACTGGTGATTTGATCAGGATTTTTGAGATGGTCACCATTTGCTGGAAGTAGCTAATGTGGATTACACCATGTGTTTGAGGGCTTTCATTTGTAAGGTAACAGCACAAATTAATTTAATATTTTTCTTGTACTTTATAGCAAGTTTTAATTTTTTGCACGGCTCTTTTGACAGCTTCTGAATGACCGTTCTGCAACATGGGTCAACTATACATTTAACCTTGTCTACTTTTGTTAATGATAATAAAAATATACTCAGATGTTTTAGGATAACAAGAAGCCGTCATCTCAGTAGAAGTGCCACCTTTGTGGATGGAAGACGACGGGAGTACCTGTCCTTTCCGGTTTACTCCGATGATGCCTGCGGTGGGCTCGTGGGGGGCTGTGACAAAGATGGTCTCCCCACTGATCCTGTTCATGTAAATGCAGGTTCCAGTCTCCAAGTCATACAGGTGGATGTAGCCATATTTGGTGATGAGAAAGACGACATCTTGCTTGGAACTGATCTGAAAAGCCAGAAGGACATATAAGGCTATGCATGAAGCTCATTGCTCAAATGCCCTACGGCAGAACACTAAACTCAAAGCTAATGAAGTATTGACCACCTCCGGTCTGACCTAACACTCCCTTACAGAAAAACCAAACGGCAAAGATGAAAAATAAAGCGGAGGTGATCATTGTTTCTGGCCAAGCTTGACTCTTTCCTTAAAAAAAAACAAGATTTGTACCTGCATGGCCACAGGGAAGTCATTTTGGGCTTCAGGGGGAAAGAAAACATCCACGGCTTTCTTTGGAAAAGGCTGGTTCCCGGTTGGTGGAGTCCCCACTTCAATGATATGAAGCTAAAAGTCACAAACAATTGAGGCAAAATGAGGATGTGAGGCTATTTTGTAAGCTTCGGCTTTTAAATACATGATCTCAGGATTCTGTCGGCATGCAAATATTTTTCAATGCATTCCTTGAACGTGAATCCTGACCCCCTCATCGGGGCTTTGCAACTGCTGGCTCATACTTTTCCTCCTGCCTGTCCCCGCACAGCAAAGCAGAACAGGGTTGACTCTTCTGTGTTGCCCTCCATCTTGAACTGCGCAAAGCCAGCAGCGTGGCCCTCGATAGGCTGAGACACCTTTCTGTCCACAGAGTATAACTGCATGGCTCCCACAACTCGGTTTTGCTAAAAAAAAAAAAAAGAAAGAAAAAAAAAAAGAGAGAAAACCCACCAGTCAGGCTACAGTCGTGTGCGACCCTGGGTCTTTTAGAAGGGATCTTATGGTAGACTGGGGCAACTCTTCAGACAGAGCTTATCACCTGTGCTGAAATGCCAATGAGCAGCAGCCACTTCTGTTTGGCGTCTGTGCGGTAGTTGATGATCTGGCAGCCTGCCAGGCTGGAGTGGCGGTCGAAGACTTTGATTGGCTGAGAGTCGCCCTCCATGCTCCAGTGGTACACGGCGTTGTCCGTGACCAGGGCCACGGTGTTCAGGGAGATCCACTTCCAGAAAGTCACGTCATCCGTCATCGTGTGCGCCTTCATCTTGCTCTTCATCTCGATGTTAAAGATCTGCAGGGTCTTTGCGGCTGAAAGCATCAGGAGCTGAGGTTAGCACACCGCCACCGGGGTGGGTGCCATGAACCCCCCCCTCCCACCACCCCCACGTTCACTGCACTGAATCAGCCCATGACTTAAGCTACAACACACAACCCACAGCAGACTCTGGGATTAAACAAACCACTTGATCACATCTATTCCAACTGCTGGAGAGACACTGGTAGTTGGGGTTTTGTTTGAGTTACACTGATGGCCCTTAAAAAAAACAAGAAAGGCGGCGCCATTGTCAAAGCAGGAAGCAGGACCCACAGATAGGGAAACTTAAAGAGAGAGAGGAACTCTCTGCATTCACACTGCTTCACAACAATGCAGCATAAGGAGGCTTTGAAAAAATAAAGGAAGCAGAATGTGGAATGTTTCATCTCAATGCAAAGTGAGACCATGAGGAGAAAATCTGTCCAAGTGCACAAGGATTATGAGCTCATGATGGGTAAAATGATGGGCACTGATTACCTACTTTAATGTGCACTCATTCCCAACCATCTCATCATTACCTCATTGGTCAAACTCTTGGCTGTAGTTCCACTATCAGAACAGTGTACAGGTTGCTTTGGAGCTTCCTGCGGCATTTCTTTTTTTCTAACAACGCAGGAGCTTACTTACAGATATTACTACGAAAGCACTTCTGTGCTTTTCAAGTCACTGAGTAAATAACTTCTCATATTTTAGGGGGGATTTTTTTCAATTTGAAATCAGCCATTTAAACCAATCCAGATTAATGAGGAAGCACAGAAAAACTAATGCGGCGCCCAGTGTAGGTCAAACTAAGGACCTGTGTCGAACCCTTCAAACCCCATTAACTACCAGAAGTATGAGACTCCAAGCATGTTGTCATAGCTCTAAAAGGGATTCACATTGAAATGTAATCCTCAAACAGGGAATTTGGGAATTTGGGTCGGATGTGAAGGCAGATTAGCAACATAAGAGCACAAAGAGGACAAACGGGTGTGACGATGAAGGGGATGACGGACAGATGCACTCACACCCGTTCAGTTCAGTTCCTCCACTTAAGTGCAGGAAAAAGGCGCCATTGTTTGGACCCAAGACATGAGTCTTAGACCAATCCGGCTAAAGCAAGCCCCGACAACATAAACTGAAAATGGACTGATAAAACGGCACAAATCGAAGAATATTGATGTTTCCCACCAAATACTTTGGATCTAATGTGTGCTTTGCTACTTATTAATGTGCAATACTCTCATTTCCTTACTATATGTTGAAGGTTTTGAAGTATGGTCGAGTCAAACTACAAATAATCTAATTCATACTGAGGCATAAGCTCTTTAAGCTACTTAAACCTTATCTGCTGCAGAGTCAAACTTCCATGTGACTCATAAAATTTCTACAATGACTGGAAACTGGTCAGCAGTGTCAGTAGCCGTGTTGTCCATGCATGGGCCGTTCAGAAGAAAGTAACAAAGACAAAGCACTTCATGCAGCACATCTATACCAACTCATTCATGGGCTCATTTGTTCCATCTAGAAGCCTGATTTCAAAGAGATTCCCCTTTTAGCATTGCTATCAAAAACCTGACACTGCATGAGCATTTCTGTTGTAATACTGCTAAAAGTACCACCATCCACATGTGTCCATCTTGTCCTCTATCAAATAGTGGATGGGACTTTTGTCTGGTTATGATAAGGCTCTCTTCATTTTACAGTGACAGCTAACACATCTCCTTGGACAGTTCCAGCAGGTCATTCTACAGATGAACAGATATGCTCTGCTCATCAGGCAAGAATGAAAGTGTCCCAGCTTACGGGAACGGTTAAATACCATCAGATTTGAGCCATTTTTCTCACATATATTAGCACATATGAACACGCGTATCCTTTTTGGTTTTAACAAACTGACCACAACAGTAATAATCACTGCTGCAGTTCATCCAATTTCTGCTCAGTGGATACAGCCAAAGGGAGATGTGTTTGCTCAGAGTTTGCCCGTTTTAAGTGTTTTATTTTTATTTTTACACAAGGTATGTATGCTGATTCAGCAGTTCGATTACCACAAAACTATCACTTGAAATATAAGCGAGCTGCATGTTATCTTCAAAATATCTTTTAGGGATTCATTTTAACCATCTGAATTATGGTGGAATTTGGAAAATGGTCAGCTGTAACATAAATGATATCTACAGTACAGCACACAAGACAAAAGCACAATAAAATAAATGGATACATCCCTTTAAGCTACGATAAGCTGTTTTTTTTCTTTAAACCACCAATTAAATTACAATCAGAACAGTGCAAACATGTCAATACAGTGCATATAGAATCATTTTAGAAAACTCATGATATGTAAAATTCAACTCACCGTCTGCAAACATAAGAGAGCAGTAAGAAATGAAAAAAAGAGCAAAAAACAAGCAAAATGGACAAAGCACTTATGACAGCAGAACATTTTTCTATCACTGGCACTACTTTCTTTAACATCATTGTGTTTAACATGGAAAATCTGTTACACTCTACTTCATTCAATGCTGTTGACAAACGGCAATGGGGTGGCCTACTAATGAACATCAAAAATGAGAAGCAGACTGTGACAGCTACATAACTGATGACACAAATATCTACACAAATGACCCGGTGTGTAAGAGAGGCAAAGTAGCAGGGAAATTTAACCGTTAACTTTTGGTTTATGTGCTTCGCCGAACCTGGCACGCTCGCTACGTGGCAACGGTGTCGTATGCATGTCAGCTGCAGCTTACCTTTGAGGGCGATGACTTTGCTGGCCGGGTTCATGATGGCGCTGTCGGCGGAGATGGGGCGGCGGATGGGATTGTTGGGGTCGGCCATATCGATGATGACAACCTGGGCCTGCTCGCCCACTTTCTCCCGCACGCAGATGAACTTGTCAGACTCCATAGTTAGAGTGCTGAAGCCAATGTTGGCCGGGTTAATCCCCAAGTTCTGGAGCTGTCAAGATGAACATAAAGTAATAAAAAAAAAGTGAAGAGCTTAATAGGTTCCAGACTTATGGAGATATACTTAAGCATTTTGGCAAAGCAAATGTGAAAAGGTCCAACTTGTTCTAAAAAAATATGACCTGGACCAATGGTAACACTTTTTAGGTCAAAATTTGTAAAGCCGAAATGGTAGTAAAATGAATCAGACCTTACAGATATTCTGCTGTTTCTCAAGGATCTTCATTCAAAGTTAGTGGTATTGCTTAATTTGGCAAAAAAAAAATTACTCTATATTAGTGAATCCATTTTCAATTATCTGAGCTGATTGTCTATTTTCCCTTAGGATAAGACCCTCACAAATAGGATGAAAAAAAAGTTAACATTCTAGTTTATAGGATTTGTATTTGGGATATAATCTTAGCACTGAAATAAACAAACAATAAAAAAGATAACCCAGGTTTTTGACCTTGGTTACAGATGGGTCAAATTTATGGGATGGGATATTTCATGGAGTCTTTTTATACCATCTGGTCTGCTACCAGGGAACACCTTTTGATCAAGTAACTGTCAAAACCAGGCCGAGAACTTATTCAGATTACAAAACCCAATGTAAGATATTGATCTATTTTAGGGATGTCCTGAAAATCCAACCCCACACATATATCTGTAAACATGGACCGTCTGGTTCCGATTCAGACGAAAGGATGCTGATGTTAAACTATTTAGAAAACGCTATTGAATGACCTCAGCCTTCCTTAAACCGAAAATACGGGTGTCGTGACAAAATCTTTTGGTGTGACGTCGCGTGGTACCAAGTCTCGTCAGACTGCAGCTGACTGTGATTTCACATCGTTTAACACATGATCCGGGGATCCGCATGACAGTCAACACCGGGGCTGCATCCTCCCAGCGTTCTCCATAATATTTCACGATAGCAACCAAGTCAGCGAATGAAATGTCCTGGGTCGTTATGATAAAAAATGACCTGACTCCAGCATCCACTTGCAACCCTTAAACTGCAACGGTTAACAGGCTAATGCAAACGCTACTAGCTTAATCTGAACGTAGCGATGCATTCGTCAAACGTTGTGGGGGGAAAAATCTAATTGCAGATGTCTGCTAGACAATATTGGGTTTTATCAAATCAAGCTACGTGGAAGTTAATTACTTCGTCTGACAGCTAACGTCGAGTCCACTTTGCAAAAGCCTTTAAGTGTGATGAATGACAGGTGCTAGCGTAAAAAGCTAATTCTTAGCTGCTAGCTAAACGGGGGAGGGGAGGTCATTCATTTGCTGAGGGTATTGACGTTTAACGTTAGCTCGGCTAGCAAGCTGTCAATTGTCGTTTAATGGGGGATTCCTTGGATATTATCGATGATGAGGTTTATTAATCCGATATAGCCGTTATTTTCCTCCACGTACCTGCAGGTGCTCCTGGAAGCGGATAGGCAGGATCTGAGCCATGTTGGTATTCTTTAGCTTCTCCGGAGTCCTGAAATTCTAGCCGTACAGCTAGCTTGCTAGGCAGTGGCACCGCGCTAGCTACGACCTCCTCACTGTGCGTGTAGGTCGGAGCCAGTCAGTGAAAACGGCAGCAAGATGAAAAAATGCCGAGTGTAGCGTTATTTGTCGCGTTTCCAGTGTCTGATACCAGTAAAAATGCTTAGTCTATCCCCCGGCTGTTTCTCCTTTCTGCACTGCATCGATGGAAAGCAGCGGCTATGGCTGGTCTTCTCGCTGAAATCCGCAATGGCGGCGGAAACAGCTCAGAGCCGAGAGCCTTTCCAATCCGGAAGCATCCAGGGAGCTCTGGAAGGACACAGGCTCTGCTCATGTGTGAACAGTTTCAAGTTTAGAAATGTCATCAGTGTATTCGTTGTTTTTTTTTTTGTTTTTTTACAGATTCACCACTTTACATGTTGGTCCAGCTGTATGAATGAAACTGAATACGTCTCCCCAGCTTTGGTGTGCCCAGAATGACTAATTCTCCAAATATATGAAATCCCTATAAACCTAACCAAAAACTTTAAAGCATTTCCCGTTTTAACAACCAGAAGCCACATTTATCTTTAAAACATAAACCATGAAGCTTTTTTTTCTTTTTGGGGAAATATTAGTGCTGGGACTTATTCTTTTGCAACAGAGTCCAAGTCATCAAGGTGTCAAGCATCACTACTCTGGATTTAACCATGGCAGGCTCAGCAGTAACATAGAATTCTGGATTTAATGTGAACAGTCACAAAAAAAAAAACACACACACACAAAAAAACAACCATAATTGATTGTAAATTCATAGAACTCTTCAAACGGGACATAAAAGATGACTCCGGACAAAGTGATGCATTTCAAGAAGCAGCTGTATTCGACTACAAAGGCATTTCTAATCCAGTGTCTCTAAGCCGTTTTCTTTTTCTTTCAGTGTAAAAAGCCTAGACTATTAGAAAAAAAAAAAAAAGAAAAACCCAAAAAAAAATTTTTAAAAAAAAAAAAATTTAAAAAAAAAAAAAAGGAAAAAAAGAACAGAATCCCCACTCACCAGTCATTTCAATTAAAATAGAAACACCATTTCATTTTTGCTAACAATTTCCCTCAAAACAAATATATATATTTCCTCATATATAGATATATATATTTATATACTTATTCTCAAGGCAGTTGGTCATGGCCAAATTAATTGACCTCATCATGGCCATTTTTCATGTTTCAAAATTGGAAAAAAAATGCTAGAATGGAAGAGGAAAAAAATACAACAACAACTGGCAGAGGCACAGTGAACAGCAGGCAAACTGCACCGGCCAACAGGTAATATCTCATTTTGAGTGAGAGGGAATAGTCCATCAAGGCGGCGTGTCACACTGTCACACTTCCTCTGGAACAAGTGCAATGCAAAGAGAAGAACGTTCCCACACATGATAAAACTACAGCACCCTCCTCTTTCACGGCACTCGAGTTGTCCATCGGATTCCCTTTTTTGCTCGTCTCCCCTTCCTCTCGGCATCTGTAGATTGCAGCAGTGAAGGCTTGTGCTGGGCTGCTGTAGTTTGTGGTAGCTTCTGGGGTTGTGTCGGGGGGAGGGGGGTGCAATGGTTGGGTTCTCAGATTCAGCTGTAAAACTGTCCTCCCACCTTCAGCTAAAGTGAGGGACAGTGACCCGCATGTACATGTGTGATCATAAAAAAAAGAAAACAAGGGCCCCAGCATCTTGTTACGGTAAAAATATGATGATGGTCCCTGAATACTGAAAACTGCTCTATGAGAGATGACACTTCTGACAGAGAGTAGAGGACACAAGTGGAAGGATTTTCTGCAGCAAAGAGGGACACAGTGAGAAGCTATCGGGGAAAGCGTGGCTACAGCCACGTGGCTCTCTCTTCCGAAGACGAGACGGCAGAGGACACAAGGGGGACGGGATGACTGAGGAGGGCCGGGATGGTACTCTGGAGCCATCGGGCCGTGGGCGATCGTCTGGAGTGCTGGATGGCGGCGTGAGGAGGCCCCTGGGTTACCGTTTGTGTGGCGTGTGTATGTTTGTTGTACAAATCAGCGAGGATTGCTTGGGAGCGTTCGTGTAAGAGAGATACAGAAAAGAGTAAAGGTGTATGAGAAGAAGAGAAATCCCTGGGCTACGCACGCGAGAGGGCGCAGTGGAGGGGGAGGTGCCGACGTGCCCCCCTCCGATACACCTGACGCTCTGCAGAACTATGTGTTTCTCTTTTGCAGCTCCTGAACAAAGGCTGTGGGAAGAGAGAGAGAGGGGGGGAAACAAACAGTAAGAACATGACACAGTTCATGTCCTGAAGCTTAAGCAAACCATAATGGGTAATTTTTGAGAGTGCAAAGTCACATTCACCTCCAATTATTTCCTCTTTGACTTTTTGTAGTTCTTTCCGCACTTCCTCCAAGATCTCCTGCAGAAATAAGACCGATAATGGTGACACAGATCACTTTAAGACCCGAGGCGCCCTCTGATCATGCACACAAGTACATTCCTTAGTAGCATCAAGACTTTCATCAGCAAGGAACAGTGAGGTAATAAGGGAGAACACAGCCTTAGAACAGGAGGATCAAGTTTTGATTGCATTTGTATTTTGTCATGTTAGTTTTATTCGAGGATTTCTCAGAGAATTTCTTTTTTTTTACATTGAAAAAACTGAACTGAAAAAAGTAAAATCGATTTAAAAAAAATGATAAAGCCAGGGCCACAGCAATGCTTTGAATTGGAACCGATCACAATTTTTTCTTCTCTCTTTAAATTCAGCCAATTTGGTAATTCACCTGTTTCATTTTCTCTAAATCCGAGTCATCACTTCCACCTGCATCGTTACTGTTGCTGGTCCCCTTTGACCTGAAAGAAAAAAGCAAAACAAAAACAAATATAAAACACGTTCTGTGTCCAAATATCGGGGAAAATCTCTGACTTGCCAGGGTAACGACTAATGGAACTCATTACTGCAGGAAAAAATAGAGGGATGAAGGAAGAGTGAATGCAAAAGACCCAGGAACGTACACCCGGAGAGGTGATGCAAGTCAGGCTTTCAGGGATAAGGGAAACAAAATGATGGAAACTCCCTCCATTGTGAACACAACTGCTTTTACTCCTCTTTATACTAACTAGTGTTTAAGCACCTATCAACAAGGGCAAAAGTCGTGAGCAAGTAACGGTTCCAGCTTTTTATCTGTATGCAGAGACCACCCATTCAGATGGCGAGTGTTCGTGTGTGCCACCCTCTGATCCAGCAGGCGTTAAAAATGCTGAGCTGGCCTGAGAGGGAAAAGAAAAAGGCGAGAGGAGGCGAGGTCGTGAGGGAGCGGGACAGCATGTGTACCTTAAAGCTTGGGACAATGAGGGAGTGGAGTCCATGCTCTTGGGGATGGAGTTATTCCTGTTAGTGAAAAACACACACTCTGCTCTTAGAAATGATAATGAACGACAGCTTCACGCACACCAAAATGCACTTTGCCTCAGTCGGACACGCGCACACAGATAGAGAGGTAATTGTGTGGAGTGTTCAGACATCAGACCCTGATGGGAGGGGGGGAATTTACAGCAGAAAAAATAACTGGGCTCAGGATTACCTGGTCATGGATGATTTCTCCCAAGGTCTTCTTAGTGTGTCTAGGAGAGAATTAAGAAACAATGAAATCAAATCCTGCTCATTTTGTATCAGTGGTCAGTGTGGGAGGTGTGCTGTGAATAAAGCTGCTCTATTCTCACCGCTTTGACCTTGAGGCTCTGAATCATCCTATGTAGAGAAAAAAAAAAAAAAGGAGTTCTGTAAATAAATACTGAGTCGTGCTCAATTATTTCTTGGCTCTAAGTTTTGTCAAGTAAAAACATGGTTTGCATAGGGGTTCCACAGAATGCTGGGACATGAGAGCAGATCCTTACATTGTCCTGTGGCTTCACAGGGGGCTTCTCTCCCGTGTCTGCAGCTTTTCGCCTGATGGGGGGAAAAAAAAGAAAAAAAAAAAAGAAGCGGGTTGAGTTTGAATGAATGCTGAATGCAATTTTGAATCAAAAGGGGAACTTTTTCAGGTCACCCACCTCCGTGCCAATATGGCACTCATCTCACCCATCAAACCGCCCCCGCCTCCCCCGATGGAGGAGTTACTGCCGCGGCTGGAGTCAGCTCTGCCGATTGGAGTTGCAGGGGCTCCGTCCTCCTGCTGAGGGCAGCAAACGGCAACAAGAAATTGGAAAAAGGAAAGAAGCACGGGGGCGTGACACTGCCATGCTAAGCTCCCGAACCTGATCGATAACACGGCTGAGCACAGTGGACATACTAAAGCGCTCCGGCAGACATTTTGACCCGTCTGTGCACAAATAGGTCATTGCAACGAACCCAAACATGTTCTGTGAAATTCTGAATGGGGATTATGAGTCACTGTGTACATAAATTAGTTTTTAAACTCCTTAACTCTCACAATTTGTTTTTCAATTGCAGAAAACAAACCCATTAAGCATTCATTTTGAGGAGCAGAAAAAAACGACTACACTTTTAGAGGCAGATACTAACGTCCGATTATCCTGAAGTCAGACTTCAGGGTCTGTGAAGAGAAGGCATCCTTGGACCACAGCTCAGACGCAATGGCGTCGAAACACATGATGTCAACCTCGAACTGCATGGAGCGGCTGTAACCTCAGTTATTAAAAGCAGCCGCTCTGTGTTTAGGTGAGACAACTGAGGTTCCCTTGTGTCCTGAAGCCATCATTAATGGCCCGCGGTAAGAGCTCGGACCGAGAGAGTCAGTGGTGAAACTGGCAAGGGGAAAAAAAGAAAAAAAAAATAATAAAAAAAACTCACCTTGGACACTTTGCGGAGTTTGGCTCCTGCCAGGGCAGCTGCTAAGCCCCCGGCTCCCCCGCCTCCGATGCCGCCATCTCCTCCACCTGCAGAGGGCAGGGGCGGGGCAGGCGGAGGACCCGCTGAAGGAGGGCCTGCTGGTGGTGGTGGCGGCCCAGGAGGAGGAGGGATGCCAGCAGCTGGGGGAGGACCAGGGGGTGGAGGAGGAGCTGGAGGAGGGGTCGGACCTCCAGAGGGCATTGGTGGAGCAGGAGGAACATGGACTGAAAAGAGATGGAGCGAGGAAGGCTGCGTTTACCTTTCAGTTCCATGACAAATAACTAAACTAAATCTGGTCGCAATCATTCTAAGGACGGTTTTAAAATGCTAAATTCTAAGATTACTCTGAGCCTGACCTGGTTCTGCTAAATTGCATTACAGACGTAATGAGCAAAGTGCTGAGGCCGCACTGTGCCGTGGTAAAGAAAACCAGGTGTTTCCTGACCTGCAGCGGCTTGTCTTTCTCTCTCCAGTCTCTCTCTTTCCTGACGCTCTCGCTCCTGCTTTTCCCTCTCCTGACGTTCCCGTTCTTGCTGTTCCAGCCGCTGCTGCTCCAACCTGCAAACAAGCCAGTCTGTTTACGAGCCTCCAGCGAACATCCTCAAAATAAAATCGCAGGATTTGAAGCCCCCCCCACCCACATAGAGACCGAACGCACACACGTACAAAAACCTAAACGTTGGACGTTGCCCTGAAACTTGTGTTACAACCTTAAAGGGGTGCGCTTTGTCCAAAAAGGTAGAAACACAATCACACAACACAGGACACACTTTGTGTTATCGTGCTGCCTTCCCTTTTTATGAATGGGGAAGGACAGCTAGCTCATGGCAAAATGGGCCGATTTCTAAAGAAGTTCCTCCTCCGGCATGGGTTCAAATTGCGATGATCTCTGTTTACATAAAGGTGTGAAATCTGAGCACAGCAAGATGTTATTACCGGGAGTCTGAAAAATGTCGCTGACTTCAAAATATGATCAGCACTGGCTGTTAAAAGTCTCCAAAATGCTTAATCCATATTACTTTAACTTTGCTTTGGAGAGAAGTAGAAGTTTGGCTTTTATTCAATTCACTGAATACTACAGATATAAATGTAGAGTTCATCACTTTGGATCAGTCTTCAGCCGTGCAAAGTGGCCTAATTTAAGCCGCCTCTCTTTGCTGCCCCCCCCAATCTCCCATTACACATCTGTCACCCTGCATCACAGCTGTGTGCAGAGCAGCATGCAGATAATGCACACATATGCTTGGGAATGCCCAGGGACACGTACGTGCCCACAATAAGACATGCAAAGTCAGTGTTGGTGCGATTTCAAACTCTGGCGCGATGCTCAGGAAAAGAAAAAAGAAAAAGTATCACATTCACCCTTTTCACCACAATCTGATACCAGAGAATATTTATGAACACTCAGCGGAACTGAGAGTATCAGTGAGAACAAAACTCACAAACACCTGCATCTGTGCAGGAGATCACAGGCTTTAGAGGCTCAGCCAGGCACCCAGTGGCCGCAGCCAATGGGATTGCAGCTAGCCTGACGGACAGCCCCAGCAGCCAGTCGCAAACCCTCCTCCAACCTGCAGTAAATTATCTTCTAGTCCAAATGGGATTAAAAGGTTAATGCCTGGTCTACACAGACCTGCTTGAGGTCAGCCTAGCAGGTTTCTCTGGAGGAAAAGATGGATGGATGCAGTGGAGGTAAGGTAGATGCGAGAGCTTTGTTATCCGTCTAACCTTTGACCTGCTTGCTATCCCTTCACTGAGGGTTTAGCAGCATCAGGTTAATGCCACTGAATCCTTTGCATATGCCCGTGCGCAGAACTGTGCCAAGTGAACAACAGCAAAGTCCAGACGGCTTGACTAAGGCCGGAGGACAGTAGGTGAAACACACACCAACACAGGTGAAATCACACTGGATTTTCAAGTGGAATTGGGCGCCCATAGCATAAACGAGATGACAATAAGAGTTATCATATGAAAGGCTTCCATAAAAAAGAACGGCGTGATTTGAAAACGTCTCAAACACAAGAAACCAAATGACATATTTCAGATAGAAAAACACCTGGCTGAAGGAGCTGCATCCAAAGCAAAGCGCAAACCACTTTGCTACTTTTAATCCCAGCCGGTCAGTGTTCTGTCCACCTCAAAGATCTTGCCATGACATCATTTTCAAAAAGAGGGCATCTTTAACATGACCTGTATGATAGTGTATGTAACCCTGTTACTTTTTACAACATGCTAACATTACATTCTTTTACAATGACCTTCTGTGGGGCCTTTTTTCATTTTCGGGATGCTTTTGTTTTGCCTGTATTAAACATCCTCTCCATTTGTTTCATTACCAAGAGAGGCTGTTAGGAGATTGCCGATAGATGTCATTTCATGACAAACATTACAGGAAAGCAAAGGAGGAGAAGTATGACAGTACCTCCTCTGCTGCTCGAGCTCCTCTGGAGAAGGTCCATTTGACACTGGGCGGGGGAGAGTTGCATAACCTGCAAAAAACGAGACGCAAAACACACTTGATATGAAAATGAGATTAGATGGAGCAGTAAATGAGTTGAATTGCTATTGAACAAGCCGTTGTTGAACTGTGCCCTGTGGCCCAGGTGCTTTTATTGATGTACACACCTTTTAGTGCAAAGTCTGTGGGCCGCTCTGATGTGACACAGGAACCTAAATGGTTGAAAAATACCACTCGAGTTTGTATAAGGCAATTTTATTGGAGGTTCTGGGGTCCAAATAAGGGAAAATTCATCAATGTTGTTCCCACTGTCTGAACCCAGAACTGTAAAACTAAACAAGGGCCCTCCCCCACATCAAAACAACTGGATTGGCAATTCTTTTGATTTGTTTTTTTGGACTTCTACTTCCTCACTTGAAAATGCACAAATTTGGCTGAAAAAAAGCCTCATTCTAAAATTTGTTATTTTTTTTCAAATGCCAAAGCCTCATTGAATAAGGCTTATTTGAGCAATTGGGAGGCGTTCACTGTCATACACAACCCCCTTTCGCTTCAACATCTCCGACGGCACCAACAGGCGATTTCCTCACAGCTATGTGGGGTCGGCAGCTCCCTCTGAGAAAACAAATGCACTTTAATCCTCAGGACGCAGCACAACTGCAGGTGTGATGGAGTCCCGTCCAAATCCGACGGAAGTGGCAATCGGTCCTCTCTTGAGCTATACGGTGCCGTCAAAAATAGTCGGAGTCTAACAATACACTTATGAGCAGCAGCAGTGCCGTTGACAAGGTCAGCAGCGGCGGCGCTGCGTTGGAGGAGAGTCGGCAGATGTCAAAAACGAGTGGGTGGCAGCTCACAATCTGACACTGCAGGCCGAAAAACTTCCACTCCCACAGAGTTTTCACAGAATGTTTGACTGAGGCGGGCAGCTCAACTCACGGAAAACAATGAGAATAAACAAATAGACCCACACTGCACAACAAGAGGGATGGATCCAGAAATCTGCGACAAATGCCGGCGTAGCAGAGGTGGACTTTTACCTGCGTCTGCCATGGAGTTGAGCACCTCCAGAGCGTGAGCCATGCCGTTGGCGAATAGAGCAGCATCTTCTTTGCTGCCAAAGTTGAGTCCCCAAACCTGCCGGGCATCTCGCCACTGGTGGAAATTGGGTGTAGCCTGGTTGTACTTGAGCCCTCTTACAATTGGACAGTTTATAACCACCTGCAGGAGAGGGGCACACAATCAGTTTATTGAGGGGGTCTCCACGAAGGGGCAAAATGATTGACAGTCTCAGCCCTAGTCAAAACAATATGGATAAGTTAGTATGGCACTGGTTTATATTCCTCCCAGCAGGGGGCGTAAAGCCCGCCGACCAGGAAAAACTCCCCTGGGTTCGAGTGTTGTTTGAATGTGCTGACATGCCATTTCACTATTTGTTTAACGGCCTCTGGATTCCACCGAGCGGCAGGGGAGGAGAGGAGACCCCGGCGGGCTGCATGTCACAGAGAGCAGCGTGCACTGAAAAGAGAGGGCGGCAAGGTCGGCCGCCGCCGTAGACAGTGGCGTTTCCCAAAACTATTCGCAATCTTATCAGGGCGCAAGAACGCGGTGAGAAGGAGGCTGAGAAGAAGGCATGACAAAGTAGGGGGGGCGGGTAAAAAAAAAAGAGAGATGGGGATAAAAAGCAACACCCTTGATATCGCCCAAGTGAAGGTCTAAAAGATTAAAAAGGATTAGAAGAAATCAGCTTGTTTAAAAAGACAGAGTGTCTTCTGGGAAGCCTTGACAGAGTTTTCACTGCTAGTGTGATCTTTCAGACACAACAAGTAGCAATTAAAAAGGATAGGATACAGAGAGGATACAGCTGTAATTTCCTCCTGATATACCCCCCACTGACGTTATTCACCACAAGCCTCAACCGAATCGCATTTGTCCATCCTTACACGGTATCGGGCTTCTTCCAAAAATTGTCACAGGAAATGGTTGAACATGCTAACTATCTCACAGGAAACATCATCCACTTTAGGAGCCGTCTCTGGGGAACAATTCAGAGTGCTGAATGTTTAAAGGAGAGAGGCTGTGTGGCAGCGGGGACAAGACGTCAAGAATAGACCCACCTAAAGTGAGTTTATCCAGCTTCCCAGCGTGGACACTGCCCTCTTTTATACGGAGCGATGAAATAATGATGGGGAAGCCTCTTATTTTCATGCACCCAAAATAATTTTTCTTTTTTTTTCCAAATACATCTAAAGTGCATTTCTTTTGCTGAACGCCAAGATCCCCGATAAATAAATCAAGAAGAAAAAAAAAACACTGTACTACACTTTTGTTTAAATTTACCTATGATGACAGTTTCTTTAAAAGAATAAGATCAATTCAACTGTTGGCACATTTGCATTTCCGAGCACAGGACGGATTAGGCAAACTGAGTCTGTTTGTAGTGACAGCGATACGGTCAAACCAGGAAGCTCAAAATCTGTGTAATGTCACACCTTTCCACAGAATCGAGTGTTTCTGCTGTCAACCAGTACATTAAATGTTTCATTTCTTTTTTGCCTTTTGGTCACGATCTAGAGGTTTCAGACAGGGATGGCCAACCAAAAGGCCTAAAATGAAACAGTTAGTCCAAAGATCCCCTCTTTGGTCTGAACAAATGTGCACAACAGCCAGTGTGTGTGTGTGTGTGTGTGTGTGTGTGTGGTCGTCACCTCAAATTCACAAGCATTTGTCACAGCAGAACACTGTCCGCGTGGGGGAGAGTGAGCGGACCTGACGGGAGGCGCGAAAAGCAGGACAGAGTGAACCCGAGCTGTCTTCCAAAAACTTATTTAACTGTAGAGCAACATGCCTTTTCAACCTCATGTTCTTTCAGGAACAGAAACACTCAGTAAATAAGCATAGAGTGGCCAAAAACAAAGGCTTTATGCTGCAAATCTGACTGTAAATACGTAGGAATATAAGTACGATGGACAAATGCGGCAGAATGAGATTACTAAATCGAGCTCCATGTTGAGGCTGATCAATGGAGAGGGAAAATACATTTTTTAAATCAGATTAGTAAGACTTCTAAGGCATATTTGCCAACGATTCTGTGGTGCACTGTGGTTGTAAACCCAGAAATATCTGTAAACGAAGGGTTGAAATAAAATGTGTTCAATCAGGAATGTTTGGATGTGTACAAATCAGCACCGGCGCTGGTTTATGCAGTCGAAATGGAAAAAAAGCAGCGCTTTTTATACAGTTCAGGCAGTTCCCCTTCTTATTTATGTGCTTTAGTTTAAGCTCTCCTCACGCAAAGGGGAACCGGCTGTAAAGCTGGAAGGTGAAAGGACACCGCGAGGTGATTGGGTAGAAAGGCATGAGCACTGTAAGAACTAAAAAGTTCATCATTTGATGGAGGGATTACGTCGGGGCTGTTATCTGTTTTTTTACTTTTTTTACCCTGCAGCTGGCTTTAACGTCACGTCAGCATTCCTATCTGCTGTGCAAACGCAACCAGAAAAGAAAAGGGAAAAAAAAAAACCCTGTTGAGGCTGTCCAGGCCTCGTAAACCTCAGAGACCCCCCCCCCCACTCAGACGTGTTTGGTCCGAACGCGTCTAAAGATAAACCATCTGACGCTTATGTTCGCACCGCAGATGTCCGCAGGCTGCCGGCGAATCACCACAGAGGACCGGCCCCAAGCGGGCAACAGGCGGCCCGGCCCGCGAGCGCCCGGGGCCCGGCGGCACACGTACCTGCTGGTCTGTCTGCATTTTGCGTCCCACGACTCTGAAGGCATTGTTGGTGGGGTTGTGATAGATCTGGACTCTGCTGAAGGCCTGGGGTCCAGCGCCGGCTGGGAGCCACTTCTTGTTGCCATCGTCGTAGATCATCACAGTGGCCCGAGCCTGGCAAATGCTTGACTCACTGCAAGACAGGAGGACAGGGAGGGCAGGGGGGGTAAATATGCAGCGAGGCCGGCACGAGCCCTGAGCAGGAGAGGCCCCCGCGAGGAACACGGATATTAAATTTAATATCTATGCTGGTGGAGGCGCTGACGGCCGAGCTTCAAGTGAAAAGAAATTCCTTTTAAGGAGCCGTCAGAACGAGAAAGAAGCATTTGCAGAGTTCACCTCCGACCAACAGAGAGATGAGAGCACAGGCACAAAAGTCACGCTGCAACAGTTTGTGGGGGAACCTCAGCCTAAAATAAACCAAGGTGTGACAAAGTCTGCGTGGTGGGAGCGAGGTTTAGTTTTCTGATGACAGCTTTATATAAAAAGGAAGCCACGAAACCATAACTTCAGCAAAAACTCGAAAACACGGCGGTACCCGGGAGGAGTGAGTCACACGGTGGGCTGAAATGCTCCGGTACCAACCATGGACTGTCCAGAGGTGTCACCGAGGAGCACATGAAACAGGAAGAGGAAACACCTTGAGCCGATCTGAGCCAGCCAAAGACGGCTGTCCAGACCTGAACCAGCTTTTTAGACGTTAACAGGTGCCCTTCTGCGTTCCCCTTTACGTTATAGACATTATAGGTTCCTCTATGTGCAGACTTCAACATAGTTAGCGCAGCCTGTGGAGTGAAGAGCAGCTGGGGTGGACCAGCACATGAGGGATGAGGGCGGCTGTACAAAAAACCTGTTTAAGTATGAGAGGCGGCCCATCAAGACTTCCCAGGTTGCCCCCAATGCAAAAAAATCCTGGCCAACTTGTTAGCTGTCACAACCAGCGCCCGGCTTTTACCGCCTAACAAGTTTAATAAGTGAAAGGAGGAGCAGTTTCATTTGATCCCGATCTAATGTGCCTGTGTGTGTGTATGTGTGTGTGAGGGGGAGACACAACAATGGAGAACGACAAAGACAGGAAGTGCGGCCAAAAGGAGCCAGGCACTGGAATCTTCCACCTGCTTTACATCAACCTCCTCCGCAGCACACTTAGAGAGAAAACAAAGTGTTGATTTACGAAGTCACATGTCAGTTAGCTACTACCAGCACCACCTGCGTTCTCAGTCAGACAGAGGCGAGAACAAACATTCCTTAAGCACAAGTGTATCTATAGTCACAACAGGAGCTGCCTGATGACACAAATAAAATGCTGTAAGCTGGGAATACCCTTTGGTGTCAGAATACCTTCAACAAACGGCCGAAACCAAAATAGTGTGCAGCAGAGAGAGTTCATAAGGAGCTCAGGAGTTCCAGGGGAGTTAGAGGCAAGGCGGAGCAAAGGTGGCCGCTAGCTGTCAATTCCAATTTTCTACCGTTCCTCCCTGCTCTCTCCTCATTTGCCTGCCATGCTTTCCCCGCAGTCCCCTAATCCATCTCTTCCACCTCTCCCTCCATCTGTCCCACCCGTGATACAATCTGCTACTTCCTGTGACAGGGCACTAAAGACACAGCCCACTTCCTACGGCCAGCGCTGCCTAATAAGGACTGCTCCAGCCTGAACGATCGATGCGGCTACAGACACACGGGTCCAGCATTTTCCTACAAGTTGATAACATTTAAATTGTGTCTGCATTAACTGGGAAATGCTCCTCCACTTTGCTGCTGACAGGAGAGAGCAACATGCACGGGAAACATTGTTTAGGAGGAAGCCCCGATGCCAACCAGGACATGAGCGCGTGATTGGGTGATCAAATATCCCAAAACAAGGGGAGGATCGTTTTAAAGAACAGCAAGTAACTGAATGGAATCCGTTTTGCTCACAAGTTCAGAACAAAACGGAGCGTTTGGGATTTGCCGTCATGTATTATGGTGCATGAACATGAAAAAGCCTTCCTGCGATTGTGTTGTGTGACACTCGTCTCTGAAAAGTGCCCGCCGACATAAAGGCACCTCCATTCAGCCCTTTTAAGCACTCCCAGTTTTTGTCTTCTCTATTTATTTTCTAAACATCCCAGCATTTCAAACTCCCAGTGTGGCGGGACGCTCAATACATCCACTGAGCAGCAAAAACCAAAGAAGAAGAAAGTCAGAGAAGTCCAGCAGCTACTTCTGATGTCTGGCTTTGGGGACAGATGGTGACAGACCCCGATTCAATATAAACGCTGCCTCAGTAGTCAATCAACTGTTGTTGTCCTTTAGCTTTCCCCCTGTAAGACGCACCATAGGCTAAATGGATGAGCGTACATTTTGAATCAGTTTGTGCATGTGGACAGAAATCATGAATTTCTACATGACTTTCAAACCTCATAAAAGCAAAATAATTTAACACCCCGTCAGTTTGGGGATGATACATTTTGAGGAATTCATCCTGAATTTCTCCGTAAAGTCCAAGGCTGATGCACGTGAAGAGCTCACCATGTTACATAGGCACTTTGAAAGAAAAGTTTAAAGAGACACAACCCCCCCTTTCATCGGTCAGCAACAGCCTGCCCCATCACTCACTGCTACGACCGAGGAGACCCTGGAAGCAGCTGATGGTTTGGGGCCAGAGAGGGCACATGGGAACAGGGAGGTGACGGAGACACAGCGTTGGGAATCGGATGCATTTTTAATGGCAGCGCCTCGGAAGTGAGACAAAGAGAGGGGCTGCATTATTGATGGAACTACGGACACCGTGGCTATAAAAGGGTTAGCGGCGTGGGCTTGCGAGCGCCCCTCGCACCTGTCAGCCTGCCAGCACGCGTGTGCGTGCTGACCCGGTTCACTGGGCATCACGGGCAGCGGCGAGCTGGACCGGATTAGACCGGACTGTGCCTCGGTGGTGGAATAAATCACGACAGACCCGGTTCAGGAACGATCTATTCCTGCCCTGGCTTGGACAGGGACCACCGGTCTGAGGGCGCCGGAGCCATCTGTGTAACCAAATGACCAGTGGACTTAAGGAGGTTTTCTATAAACGGGTCACTGGCTGATGCTCCAGGACGGATTGGAGACACTGGCTGTTATATGGGCGGGAGGAGAAGCATACGACTTCCGGCAAAGGAAACGATCACGACTGTGTGTACATTCTTCTCCCGCCGCACTTCGACCTAATCTGCTTCGTTTAATCGGAACGGCCAAAGGGAGTCCCTGGTCTTACAGCGAGTCTGTCCGGCTGGTCGATGAGGAGTTAACAGGAAATCTCTGCGTGGCTCGTGCTTGCTTGGAAATGTCTCTATAAGGCTGTGCTCGCACAGCTTATTTTCCAAACGTGCTGGCAAGTACAGTCAGGCCCAGTGGCTGTGCTTCTCCCCCCCTTCCGCCTTACCTGACCCTCCCACCGCTGCTTAGTCATTATTTCTCCCTCTGCAATCGAAATCTTGTAGCATGATTACAATATAAACACACAGCCTTGCGCGTCTTGCATAACGCTGCAGCACATTTGTGTCACAGTGATGGAGTATCCCATTCCAGTTGAGGGATAACAGAGCCCGGACACAACGCTTTACAAAGAAGCCAGCTTCCATTCCAGAGATCACGAGAACAGTTTATTAAACAAAACCATGCAATAAAGACCTCTCTTTGGTCTATCCGAGACAGACAGAGGCCACATACACCTGTCTAGACAGCCGGCAGACTAATAGGCGTTTGTCTCTGCATCCATAATGCCGCTATATGAAGCGCTTACTTTCAGGCCTCATATCTAAATCCTGAGGGTGAGTTATTAAAATGACGTTCAGGTATTTCTATTTTCTGATGCGGACGTATGCGCAGGATCACCCCATGGGCAACAATGGCGTCCATTCAGCGCCGGGTCTCCGAAGGGTTTGTTTGAGATTCGAGGGGTGAGTCAGACGCAATCGGTGGCTAAAAGCTGAATTCAGATTAGTAACCCTGAGGTGGCTGCGCTGCACTTTAGATGAGTAAACAGTGAGTCATTACTTATTCTATCCTTTGCCAACTTAGAAAAGAAAGGGGAAAAAAACCCTCAGACCAGACGCACACTGACAATAAGTCACTGAACAAAGTCTGTGTGGGGTTTGTCTCCTTGATAACACAAATCACGATTCACACCCAAGATAAAAAACTATGGGTGATGATGGGCCGTCTTTTTAACAGCAGCTTGGCTCAAGGAGAAGTTCTTAAAGCCAAATTTGACGCTCCAACTCTTGGAAAGCTGGAGCTCATTCATAAGTATGAGAGGAGGGAAACGATCCACCTGTGTGGGTGACACAGACCAAGCTGCTGTCACGTTTCAGGAGAGATGCTCGGCTGAGGACAGAAGTGAGAAGAGGAAGTGTTATCAGCGACGAACCAGCATGGGAATACCCAGCGTGTGTCGAGCCGTAATAAAAAAATGAAAAAATGTCTGACCTCTCCCCCAGTGTCAATACAAGTCAAAAGATGGGGAACTTGGATGGCTTTTGAATCGCCGAGTTATACGTTTGACAGCCACTACGCCTCGGGACAGTAATTCAGATTTGACGTGCTCGCCGGTCTCTCTCTGACAGGCGTTTTTACAGAGGTTGCGGCAGCGGTGAAGTGCCTGACCTCGGATGCCGACTCGGGTATGTGGAGTCCACACAATGGTCTGTTGATGGCGGGCCCAGTCATCTGACTGTACGCTGTCCTCACCTCACCCTGGGGCCATGCATACAGTTGTCGGTTTGACTCATGACTGAAGCAGACACATGCGGAGCCTCCAAACTGCGAGGAGCGGCTCCCCAACAGAGACGGGAGGGGGGTCATTCACAGGAACCACTTTTTTTTCTTTGTACGTTTAAGACAAAGACGCAAACATTTTTAAAGAAAGGGATGGTAAAGCAGAACTTTCAAAAAAAAAAAAAAAAAAACATGACTGCGCAATAACTTTCTCTCCCTTTCCAAACTTTAAAAATGTGTCTCATTCCATTCCATTCTCAATGTGTTCTCATTCCAAGAAGAGTGCAAGTCGTTTTCGTTGAACACTTTTTCTTTTAATGCCCTGGCCTCCCAACTCAGGACAAAACAAAAGCCAATGTCTCTTTCTTCCTTGATGCACATTAAACTTCAAATACT